GTGGCATCAGAGAGGTCTGTTGATGGTCTGCCATCCCTAACAGAAGTTGGTCCTCACGTGTGTATCTCACCACATCGTCACTGGAATAGCATTCAGTGAATATGACACGTTAAAGTAAAAAAGAAAGAAAATCTTTTAACAGTAGAAAGCTGATTTCAGATTGTGTCTTCTGACATTGCTTTCCCATCAAAAACTGCAGTTGCTGTAAAAGTGCCACAGAGCAGCTCTGGGGAGTGCAGATGGGCTAAGAAAAGCTGATGCCACAGAGGAGAGTGGAATAGTAGCCACTTTATAAAGGCCAGGAAGGGAAGGGAAAGGGCAGATGGAGGGAGACAGTATAGAGTGTGTCAGTCCCAGAGTTCCATAGCACAGTGGGGTGACCCTGCTCTTAACCTTCTATCCTATATTTTCTTTTATTTCACATTTTAAAATATTTTATTTTGTTTTATGATATAGTTCCATAGGTTCTGGGGCTGCCCATGCCCTTCCCTATTAAATATTTTCTAAAGAACTTAGAGACAGTTCATAGGTTCCAAAACCCAAAAAATAATGAATGTCCAGGGAGATAGAAATACTGATTGCCCTGATTTATCAGCCATTCTTATAGACCTGTGTTGAATTACCACACTGAGCTCGGGAGCACACATAATGGCTCCATATGAATTAACTTATTAAAGACTCACTTGTTGCACTTGAAAGAGTTACAGAGAGAACAGGAGAGAGAGATTCCATCTGCTGGTTCACTCCTCCATGGCTGCAGCTGCGCCATACCAAATCCAAAGCAAGAAGCTTATTCTAGATCTCCCATGTGGATACAGGGTCCCGAGGCTTTATGCCATCCCCTGCTGTTTTCCCAGGCCATAAGCAGGGAACTAGATCAAAAAAGAAGCAGCCAGAACTTGAACCAGCCCCAATGACATTTTTTTAAAGAACTATGGAGAATGGGCCTAGAAGCTAAAGTCCTCTCCTTGAACATGCCAGGATCCCCTATGAGCACCAATTCTAATCCCAGTGGCCCGGTTTCCCATCCAGCTCCCTGCTTGTGGCCTGGGAAAATAGTCGATGACAGCCCAAAGCCTTGGGACCCTGCACCTGTGTGGGAGACCCGGAAGAGGTGCCTGGCTCCTGGTTTCGGATCAGCTCTAGCACCAGCTATTGTGCTCACTTGGGGAGTGAATCATCAGACGGAAGATCTTCCTCTCTGTCTCTCCTCCTCTCTATAAATATCTGACTTTGCAATTAAAATAAATAATTTAAAAAAAAAAGAACTATGGAGGGAAATCAGAGTATGGAATTGAGAACTTGAATACTCTGCTCATCTTTAGTCCTGATAAAGTAGCCCAAATGTGCCACCAGTTTAAAATGCCGCTATTTTATAAGCCCTTGTTAAGTAGCGCTTTGGGAAGATGACAGCCCAAGTGAGCAGAACCAAGAGAAGCAGGCTCAGACATGTAGCTGGGCAGCAAACTTTCTTTTCCTTAATGTTACTCTTTTAAAACCTGTTGGCTCTTAGAATGTTTAAAGGAAAAGTACCAGAAAGATATCATAGCCCCCATGGGATGAGACCAGTTAAGGTGTGTGCCTCAGCCCATCCTTGTCCATTTCCTAACTCAGATAAAACTTGCTGTTACCTTCCGTTTAAAGCAGTCTGCCTCCCAGCACATCCCCATCCCCTTGGCATTTCAGTGAGGCTGGGAAGGCTCGGTCATGGGCGCCCAGCCACTGAGGGCTTCAGGCTAAGAAAAAGGCATTTCCCCAAGTCCAGCAGGCCTAGAAATTCTCCAGATTCCTTTGTGGAGCTCCCAGGTCCTGCAGGAGGGGCATCTGAGTTCTTTTTTTCTAAAGATTAATTTATATTTATTGAAAGACAGATTTGCAGAGAGAAGGAGAGACAGAGGAGAGAAAGATCTTTGCTGGTTCACTGCCCAAATGACCACCACAGCCAGAGCAGAGCCAATTAGGAGCCAGGAGTTTCTTCAGAGTCTCTAATGTAGGTGCAGGGTCCCAAGGCTTTGGGCTGTCTGCTATTGCTTTCCCAGGCCACAAGCAGGGAGATGGATTGGAAATGGGGCAGCTGAGACACAAACCAGTACCCATGTGGGATCCTGGTACATGCAAGGCAAGGATTTAGCCCCTGAGTCATTGTGCCAGCCCAGCATCTAAATTCTTAACAGTCACCTCCTGGTGCCCCCTAGAAGTGGAGGAGCCTTGCTTGGGTGGTTCATTGCAGATGGAGCTTTTGGTATTGGGATTTGGGGAAAAGACAGAGGGCAGAGAACTGACTGTTGTTTGAATGTAGAAAGAATGGCAAAACATGCCAGTTTCAACCTGGAGATCGAACTGTTAGCAAACAGAGTTATCATCCATCTGTCTTAATGGCAACAAGTGGAATCAACCCAGCCAGATCCAGATTTATAGTTTCTAGGCCAAGTTTTCACTGAAGAATCAGAACAAGCCATAACTTGTGGGAAATAAGTTTCCATAGATTGTTAAGAGCAGTTCCCTTCAGGATGGTATCTTGCATCAATTCAGGTGCAATCCCGGAGAGCAGGTCACCGTTCCTGAACACCCCGGTGTATTTAATTTCCCCAGATGCCTCTTGGCCTACAGCCAAAAACCAACTGGGGAAAACAAGACAGCCAGGAGCTGTAGGGGCACCCAAAGCAATTCACCCTTAAACAAAGGTTTTCAAAGAAAGCGTCCAACACCTGGAAGGGTGCATGACACAAGTGGTACAGGTCGTGGCTGGCATGCAGACACAGTCACAGCCAGCCTTGGCCTTCTAATGAAGCTGGACTCCACTATTATTAAACTGTTTATGGAGTCTCTCTTCCTGGCTGCAGGCAACATACCTGTAAAGTCATTCTGTGGCTTCTCAGATCCAACCAGAAGTTTTTCCATGATACCTCATTCCATGCCTGAAGTTGGCATTTAAGAAATACTTGGAGCTGATTGTGCCCATCTTGGTGAATTCCCAGCCAGTTTCATGTGGTCTTGGTTTTCAAACAGAAACGTCACCCAGAGCCAAAATATGACACTGTTGTCTTTTGTAGGCCTTTTGTTCCATTGAGAGAGAGCAAGAGAGGGAGGGGATTTAGACAAAGAAAACTTTCAGTTGTCTCTCACAACTACATAATGAAGAATAGAATCCATGTTAGGTTATGTTTATTATTCTTTCTGCTGTTAAAAGAAATTAAAATACTTCTGTAGAACCCAAAAAATGGAATGGGCCCAGGTACTGCATCTGTTATAAGTTGACTCCCAAGGTACCAGGCTGAAGAGATCTTCCAGCAAGGGACTCTTGGGCACAAGTGGATTGTGTCAGGATTCTAGAATTGGGTTTTAACTGCAACCCCAGATAAATGAAGAGAAAAAGAAGGTGAGCAGAGGGGAGAGAGCCATGGAAAAAGCCAGATTTCCAGTCATTCTTGAAGATGGGATCAACTGCTACAACATGGAACCCAGAAGGGTTGGAGATTCCTGCCTGCCGTGCATTTTGTGAGGTTAGGCCTTGAGCCCCATCCCTACCATTACTGCCACCTCTTGAGGTCAGTCCCACCTCCTATCATCCACATGTAGGAACACAGCGAAATCTCAACTGACTCTTCTTCCTAGTATCAGAGAGAAGGAAGAACACATCACTAAATGGTGTGTATGTGTGTCTATGCATCTAGATTTTACACTTACTTTCTTCATCAGGTTTTTTCCTACTTATGTCTGCCTACAGGCATCTGAGAGCCAATTTTTTATGAAGTTCTGCCCTTTGAAAGTTATCACATTCCATACATGTTTGGCCATCATAGTGGGTTTTATTTTAATCTAAGTCCTCCAAGCACTATTCTCACATCCAAACAAAATAAGGAAACATGGTGGTGTTATGTCCCTGGAGTTTCACGTGGAGCAGTGAACAAAACAGGACACATCAGAATGACTTCGTGAATGGCACTGAGGGTCTTGACAGGCGTCCTACAGCTCTTTACTACCCTGTTAGATGAAGGGGTTACAGGCAGGTGAAAGTTCTGTTCTGTGAGCCCTCGATGCTCACCGGGGTGCACATCACCTGGTCAGTTAGCTTTTGGAAGCTAAGATCCCAGGAAAAAGGAGTAGAATCCAAAGTGGAACCATGAAATGACTCTGGATGATAACTTCTAGCATGAAAAGGGAAAAAATCCTGTAAAGAAATATGCAGATAAAATATTTACCCTTTGAATTCTAGGAATCAAGTTTTTGATTCACAGTAGAGATCTAAACTTACCAAAAGCAATGGTAAGAGGTGGGCATTTGGCACAGTGCTTAAAATGTCTCTCTGGTTGTCCCTATCCAATGTCTAATCCCAACTCTCCTCCCAATGTAGCATCCTGCAAGTGTACATCCTGGGAGGTGCTGAAATAATAAAAATAGAGCCCAGTGCAGTATCCTAGCAGCTGAAATCCTCACCTTGCACATACCGGGATCCCATATGGGTGCTGGTTCTAACCCTGGCAGACCTGCTTCCCATCCAGTTCCCTGCTTGTGGCATGGGAAAGCAGTCAAGGACAGTCCAAAGCCTTTGGACCCTGCACCTGCATGAGAGACCCGGAATAGGCTCCGGGTTCCTGGCTTCGGATTGGCTCAGCACTGGCCAGTGCAGCTGCTTGGGGAGTGATTCAACAGATGGAAGATTTTCCTCTCTGTCTCTCCTCCTCTCTGTATATCTGACTTTACAATAAAATCTTTAAAAAAAATAATAAATATTAAAATTAAAATAATAAAGATGCATATTGAGCTCTAGGCTACTGACTTCAGTGTGGTTCAGCCCCGCTGATAGAGAGTGAACCAGGAGATGAAAGATCTCTCTCCCTGCCTCTCTTTCTCATGCTTTTTTCTCTTGCACACATGTGCACACTTTCTCACTCTCTGCCTTTCAAATAAATACAATTATTTAAAATATGTAAATAAAAGCAATAGTAAGAAGCATGACCATTCATGGGTTTTTGACTTTTCCCGCAGGTGGCTATGGGATGGATGCGAACAAGAAAAACAAGCGAGAAGGCAGCGAGGTCACTGAAAGACGTAAGATTATCCAGTGTTCTTATTTATAGTTATTTCATTACAAAAGTAGTGAGAATTTCGGGAACAGAGTAACTCAGCCTTTCATGATCTGTCACAGCCATGAATCATTTACAAACACATTCCAATGGGCTTTATCGCTTCCCAGAAGGTCGATGACCCTTACTGCCGGGTAGTTCATCATACTTGCTGTTAGAATGGGTCCTACTTTCTCCTCAGTGGTGAATGCTGCCATTTCTATGTGGTTTTCATAACCAGCATTTTTGATGACTGCAGAATATCCTTTTGAATACATTCATTATAGTTTGTTTAACCAACCTCCTACGTAAGGGGTAAGAAGAAGCAAAAACTTCAAGTATAAGATCCTGATGACTTCAGAGCCAAAGATGAATAACAGTAGTGTCAGAGTAGAAATCTACACTAAAAATTTAAAAGACACATTTATTTTGTGAAACTGCCCAAATGATAAATTCAGAGACATTTAAACTATCCCCTTAGAAACTCTAAATTAGGAAACTTTTTCACTTATTCTGTGACTTTCATATATCTTCAATAAAATATTCTGGCTTCACCGACTTGGAACTTTAGGTTAGGAAATAATTTACTTTTATGTGTCTGAGAATCCCAAAGGTCTGTACACTGAGAGGTTTAGCGAAGGCTCAAGGACTGTTATTCAAATCAAGCTGCCACTTTACTCAGAAAAGCCATTTCTCTGCATGTATTGAATGCTGTCTCTACTATGTTCATGACCCCCAAGTTCCTGTTCAGACAGCCAAACTAATTAGGAAAACACAGTGTAGAGAAGGACAGGAAATGACATAGCTTGTGTCGGGGGAAGGGGTGGTGAGGGATGTCTACAGCACAGCTCCAAGTGGCACAGAATAAGCCTGCCCTGGTTCCTCCTGCTGTGATCACATCTTATCTCCCCCGCCCACATGCACACAAACACACACAAACACACAGGGGAAGTCTGTTTTAAAGATCAGTCACTACAACCCATAAGCCAAGGGAAAGGGGTGGAATTCTGGGGTCTCATCCTATCTTCCCAGACCTCCTTCAAGGTCAAGCTCAGGACCTGCACTGCATCTGATTGCCAAAGGAACAATATTGGCCCCAAGACAGCTTACTTTGCAAATCAGTGGGTAATTTCTTTTGGTTCCAAAGAAATATAAATGTATTTACCAGGGTGCATTTAGCCTTATTATTATGACTATTTCCATAACCTGTATGTCAGACATCATAACTCACAGTACAAATCTGTGAAAAACTGGGTTGACCCCCAATGCAACAGGCTCAGCCTCTAACAGATGTTGGACCTTCCAAAATATAGAGACATCAGCACGTTCCACTCCATCTCATCTTTCCTTTATCTCTTTCCAGTTATCACTGAAACGGTAACTACAAGACTGACATCCTTACCACCAAGTAAGTAGCTCCCTCCACAGCTGTTTTCTCAGAAGGAGCTCATATGAAGGACCTCACACTCCCATTGAACAAACCCAAAATATCTGTTACTGATGTCAATCTGTATATCCCAGGATTCACTAAGTTGAAGTGTGTACCTCAAAGGTGTGTGCTTAGTGTAGCCATGTTAGTGTGTTCCCAGGGCTGTTGTTAACATTTGAGAACAGTTCATCACTCTCCAGGAAGAAACCTTACAGCCTTAGCAGTTACACTCCATTCTGTCTGTCTGCTTTCCAGGTTCTGGAAACTACAGATCTGCTCTCTATGGCTATAGATGTGCCTAAGCTAGATTACAAAATTTCAGAAATCTTAGTCAACCTGAGAGATGGGGTATTGGGAGAGAGCCCTAGCCTGACCCCAGGCAAGCCTCTGTTTACATCTACTTTTTCCCAGGCACTCCTGAGGGGTAATGGGCTCTGCAATAGACATTTGAACCCCAAAGCTACCCTTGCACTTCCCAGGAAGCCTAGTTGGCCAAGAATGCACAGAGCCTGCCTGTCAACAGGCAAGGTTGGCACCGCAAAGGGCTGCAAATGAGATGCCAGCAGCCCAGAGCTGTCCCTGGTCCTTCTGACTTGCTTGATTGGCAAAGTCAGGGCACTAACAGCCATTTGGGAAAAGCCAACCCAATCCAGGGCCTGGATGCAAGCAGCTTTGCCTCACTCTGCTGTCCTTTCTACCCTGTACATTTTCCAATGGGCATCTTGCTGTGCTCCTAAATGCAACATAACATTTAGGTTAGATGTTCACATCACAAACAGAACAGAGCAGGAAGCTGGTGTGGGCATAGACACCTCTAGCGATGTGGGCCCTGGGGAGAAACAGAGAAAGGCTTCCACAGAGCAGGGGACCTTCTGGCCTTATTGTGCTTGTTGCTTCTGGCAGAAGGGGGGACCAGCAATGGCTACACTAAGACGGGCTCCCTTGGCGGAGGGAGCCGACAGGAGAAACAAAGCCTGATCCACGGCAGCAGCAGCTACATCAACTCAAGTAAGTGGTTCCTGGTGCAAGGGCTCCAGAAGAGCAGGTGGACAGGGAAGCTCCAGAATGACAACATCCCGGGTCAGCACATGCAGGAGATAGTTGCAACTGCTTGTCACCTGCCCCAAATGCCCAGAGTTATCTCAGTGACACACAGTACAGGGAAGACACAACTTGTAAATTACCAGCATTTGAAGTCTTCTTAGAACAGGATTGATTTTCATCAAGTCACCAGTATAAATACCTCTCATTAATCAAGAAAGCTTTCTGGGTGGGTGACTGTTTACTCATTTACTGACTGTCTCTGAGGCCGCTCTTTTAGAGAGAGTTGTGCATGCTTGAGGGTTTATGGTTTGAATTAACAACAATGAAAGAAACCCAACCTGTGAGGTTCAACCTCATGCAATTCCCCCTGGGCAGGCATCCAACCAGAGTTCCAGTGTTTGTAGGAAATACCCTGGTGAACCACACCACCACTGCACAGAGTAAGGCAAAGCAAAACCAAACCCCAGGAACACACCCCGAAGGCCTTTAGAAAACCGAAAGGAAACTGAAAAGTCCCAGCACATCAGCAGGGCCAGGCTAGCTGACAGATGCACTTGCTCTCACTCATCAAGAAGTGTTGCCCAGTTGGATCACCTTCCAGCCCACCCATGCTTAGGTTTGTGGTCAAACATCAGGGTCTCAAGCCAAATCCTTACTGTCCCACCACCACATTCACACCGCTACATTCACACCACTGTAACTCCGAAGGACATCCTTGCTTTTCTGGGGTCTACACGGGAAAAGTGGGAACAGTAACCCTACCCTTCCATTTCCCAGCAGCCTAGGCAGAACTTTCCAGCTGTACCCTGACCCCCCCCCCTCAAGTAGGGTTCCCCCCTAACAGGGGCAGACTAAGTGTCCGTGGGTAAGATACCCAGGCTCCAGGGTGCATCTGGCCCAGCCCAGCTCTGCCTGAGTTCCGTGAGCTCTGAGGCTTCTCCCCCGACTTGCAGGTGGAAGCCTCCGCGGCAGCACCTCCACTTCCAGCTACAGGAGGGCCCATTCATCCGCCTCCACTCGGCCTGACTCCCCAGGCTCCACCTTCGAGAGGAAAGCACATGTGACTCGCCATGGGACCTATGAAGGTACCTGACCTCCACGATGCAGGAGACCTGTGCTCCCACATCTTCTCGTGTGGCCTTCAGATGTGGATGGGAAATGTTTGTGTCTGCTTCAGGCTCTTACTGATCTCCTAAGTGGAGACCGGTAATTCTCAAATAGGAACAGGATTTATCCAATAGTAAAAGGACAGACTGTGATCACCAGCGAGCCTGAGCTGCCGCATGCAGAGATATTCATCCAGAGTATTTTACCAGACAGTTGCCAATGAAAGTGCAAGAGCAGTACCTTCAAACCTGGTCTATGGCAATCCCCCTCCTCCATTGTCAGCCTCTTCTAGTGAGGTGGGGGTAGTGCCTGAATCAGGTGTGGATGGCATCTTACCATGTGCCTTGCTCCCGGGCGAGACAGGTGCATCCTGAGAATGTGAGTATAGCAAGTCTCCAGTTAAAGACATAGGGTGACATGGCAGGGTTATATAAACTTCTGACTAATTAGCTCCCTAGTTGTACCATTTTACTTTGAAGGGTGACACATCTGGCATCTCTTGTGTTTGCCCTCTCAACTTCATTCCACCCCTCCTTCGTGGATTTTTGGATGCATGTTACTTGGTGATGTTATCTATTCATCTACCACTTCATTCATTCAGTCATCCTTTCACCACTGTTCCAAGTAGTACTTTATCAGATGCCTAGCACACATTTAACACTGTATCAAATGCCTTAAATTATTTAGACCCAGATCTGGTCTCCAAGGAGCCTGTAGTCTGACAGATAAGTGAAGATGGCAGATAAAAAAAAAAAATAGCAACTCTACTGCAAAGTTGATTATTGTTTCCAGCTGAAGAAATAAGGGAAGACTCTATGGATTAGGTAATGACTAGACTGGCCTTCCCAGTGCCTAGGAAGTGATGTTCAGGATTAGAGAGCTGGACCAGCCCGGGATGGAAGAGCAGCAACACGCACAGGGACAGGCAGGAGAGCCCAGGGCTGCCACAGGGAGTCACACGGTACCCATGTGAAGAGAGTTTGGAGAGAGTGAGATCCAGTGTTAGAATGAGAATTCAGACTTTATTCCAGACAAAGCAGAGGACATGGGGTTCTTTAATTAGCAAATTACTCCAGGATTTTTGAAGTCAAGGCAAAAACTCTGGGAGATACATGCAAGAAGAAGCAGTAACTCCACACAGAAATAAACTAAGAAGCTGGGAGGAAATATGTCGGAAGGCTGGGGGAGAGCGTATTGGTCGGGACTGGGTTGGTAACAATGGAGTAATAGGGGTTGGCCCGGAAAGATAGACGGTATGAAGTTGGAATTGGCGGGTGGCTAAGAGGAGAAAGCTGAGTTAGCAGTTGCTGCCAGGTGGGGCTCCTGCTGGTGATGTCGACAGCTGATGCGGGGACCCCAGCTGGAGGACTCCCACTTAAACCAAGGTCAGTTGCTTTGTTCTGAGATAGAGCTGCTCAGGGAGGCAGGCAAGCAGCCCTGGCTTCCTTAGTGGGTCCCCTGAGGTGAGGCAGGACCACAGCTAGGCACTGCAGCCCAGGCTGTGTCCTGTGGAACTATGCCCCAAAAGCATGCAGAGCGTCAGGAAGGTCCTCTGAAGCACACAGCTCATTCCCTCTGGAATCCTGGTGCTGCAAGAGGGTCAAAAATTCCGGGCATCCCAGGCACCTTGGCTCAGTGTCTTCTCCCCTCTGCAGGCAGCTCCAGTGGCAACTCCTCTCCCGAGTATCCACGGAAGGAATTTGGTATGTCCTCATCTGGTTTTTACAGACGGCCCTGAGGCACTAGGAGGGTGCTCAGGTGGCAGGTGGGAGGGAAGGGGAACTCACGAGTTGAATGGAGGTTCCCAAAGGAGCTGGACCTCCACTGACCCTCTTCCTAGCTTACTCTTTACCATGACGCTTCGGGAAGGACCATCAGTCATACCAAGATGCCATCACGGGCATTTGCTTCAGACTACTGAAAGGGCAAGTTACTGGCTTGGAGAGAGAAGCCTCCAAGACAAAGCTGCAATTAAGGGATCCTCCTTTCCATCAGAGTCCTTGCAGCCCAGCAGGGCAGCAGTTAGAATCTCAACCATCTCAGGGAGACACTGCTGGTCTTCTGATCTATGTGATCATTGTCGCCAGCCAAGCCGAATGAACCGCGGAGTGAGCACTTTAGCTAAGCTAACCGCCTCAGTGTGCGGAGCAGCACTAAGCATTCTCTGCCACCACTTGTTAAGTACCTGCTATGCAGAAAAACCCCCTCCAGATGCTGACAGTAACCCCCTCCCCATACACCTGTGTCTGTGAAGACAGCCTCGAATGCATGCCTACAGTTGCCTTTCTTTCCTTCTTAGCCTCTTCTGCCACCAGAGGACGGAGCCAAACACGAGGTGAGCACTCACACTGGACTCAGCTCAATTCAGCTTTAGCAAATGTTCTTGGAGCAGCTGGTGTGTTTATAAGGGACAGAGTAAATAAGGATGGAGCCTGCCCTTCGGAAACTTAGAACATCCTGAGAGTCTTGCTGGTCCTATCAGGATGGGAAGAGTGGCTTTCGGCCGCAGTCTCCTTGGCATGAAAGCAGCAGGAGTGAAAATGCATGGTAGCACCTTCCCTCTACACGCCAAGTTGACTTAATAAGATGTGCTTTAATTGGCTTTCTTCACCTAATATGCAAAAGCCCATGGATTTTAAGTGAATCCAGGAGACAAAGGGCTCCCTGGTGGCCTCTAATCTCCTCTGCACAAGCTGCAGGTCTTGGGGAAAGCTGCCGTAGAGCATTCTGGTTCGGTGGGAGAGTCTGTAAGGCAGGGGTGGGGCAAGCAGAACCCCTCTCAGCTTGGTGAGTTCTCCACGCTGGCCTGGACTTGCTATGGACCGCCTCCCACCCCCCGGTCATCAGAAGCTGGCAGTCTGGGCACATACCTGCCATCTGTGCTTTAGGCTGATGGTCCAGAGGTGTGTCTTCTCCTGCACTTCATATTTCTGCAGAGGCAATACCTGTAGATCTCAAAATTCTGTTTCCCATGCCTGAGAGGCCAGCAGAAAAGCATGCCTCTGGCCATGAGGAGCTGGGCTGGGGAGAGTGCTGGTCAGTGGCCCTTGCACTGCCCGGGATTTTGTTAAGATGTCTCTGGAAGCCCAGAGTATGTGGGTGGCAGGTGGGTGTGGAAAGGGCCCATTCCTTTTTAAGCAGTGCTTTCCTTGGGCATACCTTGCTCCCTGTTGTCCCTGTCCCAGAAATCTCAAAACAGTCCAAGGACTCACTGGCCAACTGCTATGAGCTTTGTGTCGGGGATGGTGATCCCTAAACCTTCATTTACAGCCACCCTCCTCTCTCTTCTCTCACACAGAGAGTGAAATCCGAGTTCGACTACAAAGTGCATCTCCATCCACCAGGTGTAAGTGGTCACTGTTTTACTGAAATTGAAGGACCTGTGTGTGTGTGTGTGTGTGTGTGCATGTGCACTCGCGGGCTCCTCTCCTGGTACCTACCATAACAACGTCACCACCCAGAGTTCCTCCCTCCTCAACCCCAATAGTTAGTTACTGGACATCTGTAAGACCTTCTCTAAGTTGGAACCCAGGGCCAGGGACTAGGTAGGTCCTGAACAAGTCATGGTTCCTACTGTGTAGGAGTTCAGTCTCATGGGAGGCTGACATTTCCCCCTTTCCCCCCGTCCGAGGCCTTTCTGGGTTAGGGGGTCAAGGAAAGAATCCTGGGGAACTTTCCACAGGGACAGAACTGGATGACGTGAAGCGTTTGCTCAAGGGCAGTCGGTCTGCGAGCGCCAGCCCCACCCGGAATTCTTCCAACACACTTCCCATCCCCAAGAAGGGCACCGTGGAGACCAAGACGGTGACAGCAAGCTCCCAGTCGGGTGAGCCCCACAATCCCTTCTGGCATGAGGGAAGGGGCAAATGGGAAAAAGGGAGTAGATTCTCCCCAGCCTGGGAACTCATGCCCTGGAAGGCTTCCCAGACTTCACTGAGGGAGAGGGGCTTAGCAGGAGAAAATGCTGGGTAGCAGGGGTTCCAGTCACACTGGAATTTCACCAAGAACCAGCAAGGACTTCTCATCTGAGAGACCAGCTCCTCACTGGCTTCAGGAGTTGAGACGGGAGCAGAACTGCCAGCTACTCCTGCTTGTCCTGGATGGGCGAGCGGTGGGGACGGTGGGGAACAATTGCTGGGATGTGTACAGCCTTCAGTGCTAGAACCAGGGAAATCCCAGCAGACCCAGTGGCCTTCGTGGGTATGTAAGACATAGCTGCTCACAGGGCCGTGTGTCTGTGTCTGTGTCTGTTTGTCCCCAGTGTCAGGCACCTATGACACAACCATCCTGGATGCCAACCTTCCCTCGCACATGTGGTCCTCCACACTGCCTGCGGGCTCCTCCCTCGGGACCTACCACAACAACGTCACCACCCAGAGCTCCTCCCTCCTCAACACCAACGCCTACTCAGCAGGCTCAGGTACGTGGCACCCGCACACCCACCTCACCCCACCTTTGGGGAGCTGAGGCATCCCTAGGGTAGTTATATTTCCCGGGCTTCCTGAGGGGTCTCTGGGTACGCAGGAATCCCAGGAGTTGACCCTGGGGCTTCTGTCCAGCTCAGCAGAGAGGGCATTTGTTCTAGGGGATCAGAATAGACAAATGCAGGCAGCAGAACTGGCTCTGTTCTGGGTGAGCCAATGAAGGCACCTGGGGCGAGTCACTTCCCTTCTGTCCACTCTGGGACCACCTCTGTAAAATAAGGGCACTAACCAGAGAGTTGGCTGGACCAACTGTCTGCTCCAGGTCTGATGGATCCAGCATCTCCTGTGGCCAGAAGCCCTGGGATGCCACATAATAAAGAACAGCTCTCTGCTGTAGGGCAAGAGGGCTGACCATTATAGTTTTCTTCTAAAAATAAGAATGAACCAAATAGAAAATGCCAGTCCTGGCATTCTGCCCGATGCTTCCACAGATTCCAAGTATCTGTCCCTGTATGGGACCTGACATCCCTCCTACAAGCCTTCCTCTTTCCTCCCCTGCAGTCTTTGGAGTTCCAAATAACATGGCGTCCTGCTCTCCCACCCTACACCCTGGACTCAGCAGCTGCTCCTCAGGTCAGTGACGCTGTCTTGAGTCACCTTAGCTGGGCTGTTGGTTTAAACATATGCTCTCCTGCTGGGGAACTGGCCTGACTTCCAGGGAAGGCATCCTTTTGTCCTGCTCCTGGGAAGGAAAGACTTACCTCTGAGCCCTCTGTCCCACAGAGGCCTAAATCAAGTAGCAACACAGCACCTGCTCCCAGGTTGCCAATGGCTTACTCTCTGACAGGCCCTTGATTATCTGTGAGAGTTGGGGAAATGATGTAAAGGGACTCGGTGGGTCTTTGGCTTAGGATATTGTCAGGATGAAAGTTAACTTAGAAGAATCTTATTTTAGATTTTTTACTCAACATAGTGGTTCACTGGAGTAACTACATTAGGATATTCCTGCTTAGCCCCCAACACAAGCACATCACAGAAGTGTTGATTTGCTACTCCTGAAAATATCATAATTGTGCATATGCAAATAATTTATCAGCCACATCTTTTTATTTTTATTAATTTTTTAAAGATTTATTTTTATTATTTTTTTTTATTGGAAAGGCGGATATACAGAGAGGAGAGACAGAGAGGAAGATCTTCCATCCAATGATTCACTCCCCAAGTGAGCGCAACGGCTGATACTATGCCGATCCGAAGCCAGGAGCCTCTTCCGGGTCTCCCACGTGGGTGCAGGGTCCCAAAGCTTTGGGCCGTCCTTGACTGCTTTCCCCGGCCACAGGCAGGGAGCTGGAAGGGAAGCAGGGCTGCCGGGATTAGAACCGGCGCCCATATGGGATCCCGGGCGTGCAAGGCAAGGACCTTAACCACTTGTGCCACCGCGCCGGGCCCCACATCTTTTTTTTAAAGAAAGCAGTCTAATTGCTATGACACTGAGGCTCATAAATATAATGATATGGATCTCTTCTTCTAAAGATGTGCTTTTATTGATTTGAAAGGCATAGTTATAGAGAGAGAAAGAGAGAGATTATGTATCTGCTGGTTCATTTTCCAAGTGGCCACAGCTGCTGGAACTGTGACAGGCTGAATTCAGGAGCCAGAAGCTTCATCTGGTTCTCTCATATGAGTGACAGGGTCCCAAACACTTGGGGCCATCTTCTGCTGCTTTTCCCAATCCTGTAGCAGGAAGCTGGATCATAAGTGTAGCCCATAGGATGTGCTGGAGTCACAGGTGGCAACTTTACTTGCGATGCCACAATGTCAGTCAATGTGGAACTTTTAATTTATTTCACAAGTATACCTACCTGCAAGCATTTGGCTTTTAGATTGGCCTAAGGTTCCACTAAACACAGAGGATCCCTTGATATAAGTCAGGAGCTGTCAGTAAATTTTGCCTAGTGTAGGGAGGTGGGATCATTTAAAAAATAAGAGAATGATTGTGTCACTAAGTGTGAGAAGCAATAAAGTCTGGGCTCTCTGCATCATCATTTCTCATGGAAGCGGTGAGCAGACTGGCAGACTGTAGGAGGCTGCCCCACGCAAGACCAAGCCTCTGTGCGCCCCATGCTCATCTGCTCCCAATCCCCCTCACAGTGTTTGGCGTGCAGAACAACCTGGCCCCCAGCTCTTCCACTTTGCCCCATGGCACCTCCACCACCTCCACAAGTGAGTAGCCTGCATTTGGAGCTCAGGGGTTGGGGAAATAACTGCTCTTGGTAGCAACTACAGATCTGTCACTGTCTCAGTAACTGCAGTAGAAGGTCAGGAAAATCCCAAAAAGCCATGAAGCTCTCCCACCCTCAGAGCAGCTCTGTCTGCAACCTAGAGATGCCAACCCTGGCCTTTTGCTGGCTCAGCCACGAGTAACCATGCAGGGAGGCTATCCTGACAGCAGCAGCCAATCCCTGTGGTGCACTCCCTGTGCACCCCACTATGCCTCATGACCAAATTCATCAGGGTGGTAGCCTTGTCTGCTCGCTGCACTTCTTGACAGACTTCTGCCACTCAGAGTGGATCATCTGGTTGAGTTTTTGGTGTACACTCCAGGTCACTGCCTGGCGAAGTCAGAGGAGAGGTGAGCCTCAGCCTGTACCCATTAGCTGGAGTACAAAGTCAAATGTACACAAACCGGTGGGCGGGTCCTACAAGACAGTTGAGCAATACGTTGTGCACTGCCAGAATTCAGAGGTGAAGGGATATGTAAGGGTCTGGGAGGACTTCCTGGAGGAAGTAGCCTGAGGAATAGCTCTAGCAGAATTATGGACCAGAAGCATCTAGTAAGCCCCAGTTGCTGTCCCTGTGGTTGGGGAGAGCTGCCTGTCTCCCAGGACGGCCGGGCTGCTCCTGGCCATCCACATGGGGCCACCCTGATATGCTGACCCAAGCTCACTCCATGTCTCCTCCCTTGCAGCATATGGCATGAAGAAAAATATGCCCCAGAGCTCTGCCGTGGCGAGCACTGCTGTGGCCACCTCGGCAGGTGAGTGCTGCTCCCTGCTGCCAGGAGTGAGGCTAGCCCCTGGGGTAACTTGCTTGCTGTGATCCACAGTGTATGGGAGGAAAGGCTAGAGCCTTCAGTGGCGTAGGGTTACAGCCACAGTTCATCCCCTTGACCCCTTGGATATTTCCCGGAGTGAACAGAAATGCCCATGCCTTTGAACTCGCCTTGGCCTTGCTGTCCAGGGTCTGACCCATCCTTATTGGTCTCCCTAGTTCCCACAGAACCTTCATCCCTTGAGTCGTTTCTCCCACTGTTCTGATCTTGTTATGTTTCCTTTCACTCAAGAATTCACTCATTTAACAATTCCTTAATGAGACTGTCCTGTGAATTGGATGGACACTGTCCTAAGTGCTGGAGCACAGCAGTGAACAAGATGGATGGATTCCTGCCCTCACCACTCTGAGGCAGATGGCAAACACAGACAACCTATGAGAGAAAGTTTCAGCAAATGACAGAGTTTAGGCAAAGCAAATTAGTGATGTGGTAGAGGCAGGAGTATGGGTATAGAGCTTACCTCACTAGAAGGTAATGTTTGAGACATAAGGATACACAGGAACGACCAGATCAGTTAAAGACAGACTTACCTGGCCAGGGGACTTCCACCTGCTCAGTAAAGATCCTGCTCTGATGCAAGGCAGCCCCAGAGCTGCCGAGGCGATCCTCAAGATACTCCCTGGCAACCACTGTCAACCTGAACAGGAGACCCTCGACACTCTGCAACCTCTTCTTCCTCTTCTTCCTCCTCCCTCCTTCTCTCATTTCCTCCCTTCCCTTCTCCTGACACCTTTCCCTTCCTCTTCCCTTCCTTCCCCTCCAGCTTGCACCACGAGGGTCCAGAGTGAGGAGCAGCTACACAGAGACTGCAAGTTCCTGCTCGTGGAGAAGGACAACGTGCCCACCAAGAAGGACGTGGAGCTGCTGGTCATGTCCAAGGACAGCGGCAAGGTCTTCCCTGCCACGCCCACTGGTGTCGCAGCCAGTAAGTCAGAGCCCGGGTCCTGGGGGATGAGGCAAAGAACCGCAGGATACCAAATGTGTCCTAGCAAGGTGGCTTAAGACAGTGAAATTAAAAAAACCAAAGCCATCTCATTTTAACAGGAAACAGTGTGTCATGAATGCAGATGGGCTGACAGGATTCAGCCAAGAACTCCCAGAGGGTTCTTAGGGCAGCAGTGAGTCCAACCACTGGCACAAACGTGGGAGACTAAGCCCAGGGAAGCTTGTCTTATCAAGGCACCCTATTCTCCCCAAGCCAGAGGGGGTGGATGCAGCAGGTGGGAAGAGTGTGTTCCAGGTTGTCATGTGTTCTGGGCACAGCTTCCTTTTCAGAAGACACTCTGAAGAAAGAAAAGCAGGCCGCCTATGCTGCCGACGCCTGCCTGAAGGCTGAGGCTAATGGTAAGGTTGCACCTGACCACTGTCCACCTCCACTCCTGCCTCACCGCCATCCGTTGCTTTGTCTTCTGAGCCCTCACGGTGAAGTTTGAAACATGGCTCAGCAGGCCTGCAAGGATCCTGGGGATGCCTCTACCTAAGCCCCCATCCTGCACCTGATACCAGGGGCAGTTGTGGGGCTCCTGAAGTTGCAAAGAGCACCCCCAGACCCCTGTACTCTGTGTGTGTCCCTCCAGGAGACTTGAAGACAGTGTCCACAAAGGGCAAGGACGACTTTGCAAGTGAGAACCCTGGCCCCCATGGTGGGATGCAGAGGGACAGAGTGTGGCCCCTGGCTGGCACCAGAGTACCCAGACCCAGCAGGGAGGAGGGGTGGACATGGAAGAGGTGGCCTCAGAAGGAGCTCAGCCAGAAACACCAGTCTCCCAGCTTGACAGGAGCAGCATGACAGAACAGAACCTCCCAGGGACACTGAGCGCTGCTCGCCTCCTGCCCTTCTGCCCTGCACGTTCCCCTTGCTTTTTGCCTTGGGCAGCAGCGGGTACAGGCCTTCTCCCTCATTTCTTGGTACTGCAAAGCTGCTCCTGTAAGTCACTGTCTCTCCCACAGAAATCCACGGTTATGACCATGGCGGTGGCCGAGGTGGTGGCGGAGGCGGCGGCAGCAGCGGGGGCCAGTGGGGCGCAGCGCCGGCCTGGTGCCCGTGTGGCTCCAGTTGCAGCTGGTGGAAATGGCTGCTGGGCCTGCTGCTCACCTGGCTGCTGCTCCTGGGGCTGCTCTTTGGCCTTATCGCTCTGGGTACGTGGTGGAAGTAGCAGGAGGCCCACAGGCCCCAGTGCCCAGACAGGGGATCATCCATGCAGACACCCCCATTATTGTGGACACAGAAACGAGGCCCCCAGGAGACACCAAGCCAAGGTCAGGTGTTTGGCTGACAGCCAGGTGGCAAAGCTAGGACTGTGGCAGCTCTAAGTTCCCTGCAGGAGGTTTGAAACTGCCCTTGTGGAAGTCATGCCCTCTCATTCTCCTTTTGTTTCTTACTGAGTTCTCACACCACCATGGGGCCGGAGGGAGGCAGGGGATGACACACATTTCTGTAAGACTCAGGAGGATGCAGAGGAGCTAAGCCTACTGGCAGGCACATCAGGTGTCCCCAGCACCAAGAGGAAGCTGCACCAGGTCCCCCACAGGGGCCATCATTGCTGAGGCCACCCTTGCCCTGGCATTCCAGGTGAGGAGGTGAGGAAGCTGCGGGCCCGCGTGGATGAGCTGGAGAGGATGCGGGGCAGCATGATACTACACGGGGAGACCCTGGAGAAGAGCAGCAAGGACCGCCTGCTGGCGGCACCAGGCGTGGGCACAGGCATGGGCAAGACCGGGCTGGACGGCTCCAGTCAGGAGGCACTCTGGCTGTTCGTGCGGAACAAGCTGTTGCTTGAGCAGGAGAACGGTGAGATCTATGGGGTCGCCTGCGTGGTGTGTGGCCACTATGCGTGGGGTGACGATGGGTACGCCTGTGCTGGGACACCTTCTGCCCTTGACCCCACTGCCTGTACCCACCAAAGCCCAGGGAGCAGGACCAGAGCTAGAATCCCATTAAAAAAATTTTTTTGTTTGAGAGACAGAGAAAAATAGAGGCATAGAGAGCCCTTGCTCCATCTGCTAGTTCCCAAATGCCCACAAAAAGCTGGGGCTAGGCCAAGCTGCAGCCAGAAGTGGGAAAATCATTCCTGGCCTCTCCCGGAGGTGGTTCAGTGACTTGTGCTATCACTGCTGCCTCCCGGGGTATGTGTGAGCAGCAAGCTGAACTGGGGAGCCAGAACCAGGGGTTTCCGGAGTGGGTGCCTGCAGTGGGTGTCTCCACCACTATGTCTGACATCTGCCCCTGGGGTCACATTTTACTGTTTGGGAAACAGTCCTTGGCGCCTTTTGTCCAAGATCCCTCCACAAGCCCAGTTTAGAATGTTTGTTTTAGACCCTGTTGATCCTCACCATCTCACGATCTCCATGTGTGTGTGTATGTGTGAGAGAGAGAGAGACAGAGAGAGAGAGACATGAGGATGTGGTGCTAACTTGCGATTTACTTTCTCTTGCAGGAAACCTCCGGGGAAACCCTGGCCCTAAAGGTATTGCAGGGGTTCAGCCCTCTGGGGCCCTCTCCTGGTAGGTGGCATTTTCCAAAGGGAGGGACAAGGAAGGCTCTGGTGCTGTTTGGGAGGCCGACTCAGAACTGGCTTGGGAAGGGAACTAAGGGGCAGGTAGGAGAGTCCCAGCCATGTGCCCAGGGGATGCAGATGGGGACTGGGAGGGGCCCATGCCACGTGTGGCTTCATAGTACCCAGGAGAGGGTGGCCCTGGGCTCCCAACCCCATCTCACACAGCCTTCGTGTTGTCCTGGTTCTAGGTGACATGGGAAGTCAAGGCCCTAAAGGTAAGTGTAGTGGGCCACAGCCACTGACCCAGGGAGATTGGTGAGGGAGGGCAGGCAGGCAGAGAGGTCAGTAGTGTCGGGGAGGCCAGCACTCGCCTGACCATCAGTGGGACAGGTACACAGGGAGGAGGCAATCTCCCTTTGCCTTGTTGAGCAGAGCTGGCAAGCTGAGGGATCAGCAGAGCCCCTGCTTCAGCAGCTTAGGAGTGGGCAAGACCCATTCATCTTTATCGCCCCAGGAGGCTCTGCAGCCAGACATTCAGCAACCATGGGAGTTGATAGGGGCCCTCCCTTCCCAAGAGACCCAAGCAGGAACTGGGACCCTTCCCTGAGGGGTCCTCTGCTCCTCATCCCTTCAGGCCCCCACCCACACCCCAACGATGCACACACAGCCTGCTACCTTGGGAGCCCCTGAACTTGAGGTTGTCAGATTAGGATCCAGCCCTTGGCTTCCCCTGGGATGCTGTCTTGCTCCTGAACTTGGCCTTTCTGAATCCCATGGACCTGAATGGCTGTGGCTTTGGCTGCTACATGTGGCCACCCTTCCCGAATCCCACCTGTGACTGCACTGGGGATTTGCCAAGCCCTCAGCTGACATTTCACATTCACCTTTGTTCCTGCAGGAGACCGCGGGCTTCCTGGGGCTCCAGGTCAGTAAAGCTGATGACCCTGTGCCCATGGGGACCACAGAGCCCCACTGCTGTTCCCGGGGGAGGGTGTACAGGGGACTTGGGTGATGTCTCTCGTGTCTCCACAGGTACCCCTGGGCCCGTGGGTCTCCGTGGCCCAGAAGGACCAAAGGGGCAAAAAGGCAGCGTGGGTAAGAACTGATTCTTCCATGCATTCCTCCCCCTATCTGCTCATTAACAAGCCTCTGCCAGGTGCTGGCTCCATGCAGGGCCCTGGATTAGAAGACAGCATGCATGCTGACGTGAGAGTGACTTGGGGATAGTAAGTGCCGTTGGCACATGAACGATGCTGTAGTCGGGGTGGGCACAGGATAACACAGCAGAACCTGGAGGAACCTCCAGGGTGACCTTATAGAGGATCTGGGGAGGGATCCCCAAGAAGCCACCATTGTAATGAAGGAAGCAGGGCCCTGAGAGGGATGTCTCCAAGGGAGCGGCTAAGGCCAAGGTTGAGCACAGGCTCAAGGGGCAGCATGGGGAGCAGGCTGGAGGTTAATGAGGCTGAAGTGACAGCCCAGGCAGGCAAGGGTGGCCATGGGCAGACACCTGAGGGACAAGTGCGGGGGCAGGGCAGGCCGGATCCACTTTCCTTGTTACCAGCAGCCCCTCTGACTCCTTGGTGGAACCAAGGAGGAGCAGCAGCTCAGGGTCCTGACTGCGGGGTGGACCATTCCCTTCTGCAGGAGAACCCGGCATGGAAGGCCCCATGGGCCAGAGAGGGCGAGAGGGCCCCATGGGGCCACGTGGGGAACCAGGACTTCCTGGGTTTGGAGAGAAAGGAGAGAGAGGTAAGAGGCAGTCCTCCCCCACCAGGAGGGACAACACCATTCTCCCCCCACCCCAACTTCTGCCCTCCCTTCAGCTTTGGTGGCTGAGCCAGGGTCTGTGGTAGGCTCTAATGAGACAGAGGCCCGGCCCTGGGGCATAGGCCAGGCTGCAGCACAGGCCTGGGCCCAAGGACCCCTCTCCAGTGCTCAGAGCTGTGTGGTCCTGGGAGCCAGGGCCTGCCCACAGCAGGAGGAGAGGGGCACCAAGCAGGGGGCAAGCAGAGGTAGGGCTGGGCTTGGTGGGAGGCAGCCATGGGGTGCAGGCCTTGGAGCCCCTCAGGGCTGGAAGGGAGCAGGGAGTGAGACCCAGGTAGCCCTGGAGGCAGAGATGCTTGAGAATTGGAACTGTAGCCAGGGGCTGCTTCATCCGGGACTAAGGGAACTCCAGCCTCCAGAGGTCTCCTGGCCTTTACTGCCAGCTGGAAGCCTCATGCTGGTTTTCCCCTGTGCTCCCCTAGGGAACCAGTTCTGGTGAGTGCCCACGAGGGCAAACTCCATGGAGTTTGTGAAGGATGGGGTGGGTGTGGATGTGGGTGGGTGTGTGCAGGACAGTGGACCCAGACCACCAGCCAGGGGAGCGTCTCCTCCAAATTGCACCCTGGCCAAGGGGCAGACCAGCTGTGCAGCCTCCACATGCCCACTTCTCTGTTTCTCCTCCCAGGGGCTGCTGGTGAACCAGGTCCTCATGGCCCCCCAGGAGTCCCAGGTTCTGTGGGTCCCAAAGGTAAGCAGGTGCCCCAAACAGGAGCCCCACTTACATGGAGGAAGGAGGGGCAGGTCCAAAACCAGCACAGAAGAGCAGGCCTCAGGCCCCTAAGAGCAGCAGTCCTCTGCTCTGGGCCCGGGTGGGGTAGAGGGTCCGGAGCCCCACCAAGGAGCTCCCCCTACCCCAGGCCCAGACTGGGACTGCAGTCCAGGCTCCAGAGCAGGACTAGAGCAGCCTTTCTTCTCTCTTCAACAGCCCTAGGCCACAGCCCCCACTGGTAGATGGATTATGTGTGAACCAGGGGCTTCAGAGTTTACTCCACAGGGCCCAGGGGTGCATGTGCGGAAAGCCACATGGCTGGATGACACAGAAGAGTGTGTCCTTCTTGCCATATGGTGCCCATGGCCACCCCTCCTCCCCAGGCCTGGCCTGATGGTTTTCTCTGACCCCACCCTGCCATAGCCTTCTCCCTGAGAAGGCTATGATGGCAAGGTCACTCCTTGGATCCCCTGATATGGCAGGGCCGACCCTGTGCGTCCCCACCAAGAGATAAGCTGCCCCCCCCCGCCCCCATCCCACACTCAGGTGCCTGGCCTGCACCTGGCCCTCAGCTCAGTGTGGTCTCTTCCTCCTCCTCAGGTTCCAGCGGCTCTCCTGGGCCTCAGGGGCCCCCAGGTCAGTGGGGCGAATATGTGTGTGTTTGCAAGTGTAGTGCCTGGTGAGGTGTGTATACAGTTGTGGTGCCCGTGTATGTGCGTGGTACCTGTGGTGCTCGTGGTGCCCATGTATGTGCCTGGCAGTGCCTGGTGAATGTGTATGTGTGTATGTATACAGGTGTGCTACTCCTGTATGTGCCTGGCGGTGCCTGTGGTACTCATGTACACACCTGGTGATGCCTGGTGAGTGTGTGTATGTACACAGGTGTAGTCCCCATGTATGTGCCTGGTGGTGCCTGTGGTGCCCATATGTATGCCTTCGTGCCTGTGTGTGGTACCTGTGGTGCCCATGCATGCATGACTGTCCCTCCAAAGCTGAGGCACTCACCTGTGTGGCTTTTCTACTGAGCAGGTGCCATCGGCCTCCAAGGGCTCCGAGGTGAAGTGGGACTTCCTGGTGTCAAAGGTGAGCTGGGGGAACAGGCTGGGAGGAGGGGCTGTCATCCTCAAGATGCCTCTCCCTCAGGAAAGGGGGTGGCAGAGGGTCGGCTGGACGTGCCCCCAAGGATGTGCTGCTAACCAGCAGGAGGAAGGGAGTCAGGTGACTGAAAAGCACAGCCCCGTCCTCCATGGGGTTCTTGACACCAGATGTCCATTTCTGTTCCAGGTGACAGAGGATTTGTGGGACCGCCCGGACCCAAAGGTACGTGGCTGCCACTGTGCTCCATCGTCTCAGGGCTCTGCTAATGCCTGGGCACCCAGATGTGGCCCCTGCTCTGGAGTCTGAGAACACATGTGGCCCTTGTTGTGCTGCTAGGCCCTGGTGCTGAGATACAGCCCAGTCCTCTGCAGCCCAGCCTCTCAGAAACGGGAACTAAGGCAAAGGGTCACATGGTCAGATTTGGGTGGTCCTTGGGCAAAGAGGGCTCAGCTTGTGTTGGGATCTGAGCTCAGGCCTGGGCTGAGAAATAGCCTGCGGCCACACCCCACCCCAGCTGATGGCCAGCCCCCAGCTGACACCCCGCCCCAGCTGATGGCCAGCCCCCAGCTGATGCCCAGGCTCCTGTCTGTTGCAGGTGACCAGGGTGAGAAGGGATCAAGAGGCCTTACAGGTCAGTCTCACGTTGGAATCTACCTCAGTACGTCCGGTCACAGGAGGTGGGGAAAATGCTGAAGTGGGGATGGGGTCTCTGCCTACAGACCCTGGGGGCACCTGTGATGCAGAGGAAGCAGGCTACAAAATCAAACACAGCCCTGGGGGTGGGGTGGAAAGCAAGCATCCTGAGCCCAAACAGTGGATAACTGGGGACTGAAAGGGGAGTTTAGGGTCCTGGTTCTTTGTGTGAGTCCAGTTGGGAAATGAAACTGCAGGAAGTTGGCTCCACTTGTACACTGTCAGTTCTGGCATGATTCCAAAGGAGATCGGTTCTAGTTGGTTCTGGCTTGACAGAGGTGGCTTTCAGTTTCCAAGGAAACCAGACACATGTTCTTGGCCCTTCAAATGGTTGCCACAAAGCTCTAACCTGGAACCCTGGCAAACTTCATCTCCCTGGCCTCCTCTGGTCAGGGAAGGGAAGACCAGACTGTGGGGGGTGGGGCACGTGCTGCCGACAAGCTCCTGACCTGCTGGTCCTCTGCCTTCCCTGCAGGCGAGCCTGGCATGAGAGGTCTGCCTGGTGCCGTGGGTGAGCCCGGGGCCAAAGGAGCCATGGGTAAGTGCTCCCAGGGAGCAGACGTATGGGCCTAGCCCATGGTGGGTGAATAGGACTCCGTACCTACTTCGAGGGCAGGTGCAGCCAGCATGAGGCATGGGGAGAGGCCGAGTATCCAAGGGCACCGTGGAGGGAAGGCATGTTCCAACCAGGAAAGACAAGGTGACACTTCGGATGATCTAAGATGTTAGGGACTTCAGAAAACTCCATCCGTGCGGAGACCTCACCACGAGTGAGGGAGGATAGAGTGGGAAAGAACAAGGCACAGTCCCATGAGGCCCTCACCAGGCATCGGGTTAGGATCCTGCCGGAGCTCAGGGCACAAGCACTTGGAGGTCGTGGACCCTCAAGCCCTCAAGTGGATGAACTGAGCTTCTGGGCTGTAGCCATGTGTCCTAGTTGGGAACCAACAGTCAGGCGTGAAGAGCAGAGTGTGCTGATGGGGAAGACAAACAAAGCTCCCAGAGCTTGAGGGGTACAGAAAGGGCTGCAGGGGTCCCACCCAGCAGACCACCGTCCATGAGGCCTTGAGTGGGAGAGGGACAGAGCCACAGGCCCAGCCCAGGATGGATGGACGGTAGCATCTCTTCTCCCTCACCAGGCCCCGCTGGTCCTGATGGAAACCAAGGCCCAAGAGGTTGGTACCTAAACCGCCTTCTTCAGGTTTACCACTTCCCTTTGCCTTCCCATCCCTGCCCCACTCCTGTCCCCAACCCTTGTGATACCTGAAGCAGCATCAGGTGCATAGAAATGTGTACAGCCCAGCTACTGTTCCAATCCCTTCCCTACCTGCCAACAAGCCAGGCTGGAAACCCCAGACAGCGCCAGAGATGAGCTGTCCTGGCACAAAGGCCTATGCACACTGGTCATGCTTTCCCTAGGTGAACAAGGCCTGATGGGGATGCCGGGATCCCGTGGCCCACCAGGACCTTCTGGAGACCCAGGAAAGCCAGGTACTGAACCAAGAGGGATCCAGGCCCTGCTTGTGGGGTGTGTGTGTTCCTGTGCACCTGTTCATGTGTGTGTATGTGCAGGTGGGGCTGTGTACACCTGCATGTGCTGTACCTGTCTTCCTCCAGTGCTCAGCAGCGGGCAGCCCCAGCTCAGGTTACGCTGTGTGCACACTGGCGGCCCCTCTGGCTCACCCAGCTGTCATTTAGGATTCCCAGCTAAAGACAAGGAGTTCTAGAAGGGGGAAGGGACTCTGCTCCTCTGATCTCTTTCCCTCCTGTCCTAATCTGGGGTTGCACCTGAAGTCTTCTCAACAGACTCTCCTCTGCCCTGGTCCCAGGAGGTAGGCCTGGCGGGAGTCTCCACTTGGGCCAAAGGAGAGCAGAAAATAATGTGGGAGCCCAAAGAGGCTCAAACCCACTGCCCGCTGGAGTGCCAGGTTGCTTCCTTGCAAAGCTGAGAGTGGGAGGACCCTGGAGCACAGCTGCTTTGGCTTGGGGCCTGTCCTCCTGACCTATCAGCCCCTCCTGCCACATCCCATGCTCCTGCAGCTGAGGGCGTGGCTACTCAGGGACGCTCTCGACCCTACAACTCGCCCCTCTTGTGTTTCTCTTTTCTCAGGTGTCACAGGACCCCAGGGCCCTCAGGGTGAGTTATCATGTCATTCCCAGCTGCCCAGTCTCCTACCTCCCTATGCCACAGCCATTTTGGCCACTGCCTTGCCTCCCCTTTTCCTGCTCCCCTTGCAAGCATGGGTACAGCTTCTTCCACTGTGAGTTTTGAGAAACATCTGAGGAAGAAAGAAAAAAAGCACAGAATGGTCTAGAATGCTCTGGTAGAAATGGGGAACATATTCTCCATTGGTGTGCAGGGAGCTGCCCATCCTGGTATTGGCCCCAGGTACAGTTGCCACCACACCTGGCCTTTCATTCCCTAAAGGAAATTGGACAGACTCAAACCAAACAGCAGACCCTCCCCAGCAGGTGAACATAGGTTGGCTCTTCAGGGCTCCCAGGTCAGGAGGTGTGGAACTCAAGGCAGGAAGGAGATGCAGCCCTGGGTGGGCAGGGAGCCCAGCTGGGGTGAACAGCTGCTCTGCAGGCTACAAGTGGCTCCTAACCCCTGGGGCCGTGTTTGTGGGTCTCTCCCTGCCTCCAGACCCGATCTGCCAGAGAGGGACAGGAACTGGGCAAGCGCCACACCCCCAGGCTTCAGGGGCCAAATCCCAGACTCTAAGTTTGTCAGTGAACAAGTATGGCTTGTGCTGAGTGGCAGGGCGCGGCCTGCTTAGAGCGTGGCTGCCATCACTGGGCCTGCACCGTCCTGACGGTTTGTTTCTAATCACATCAGGGCTCCCAGGGACACCCGGCCGACCAGGCACTAAAGGTATGTGATTATCCAATGGAGATACTCTCACTTTACAGGTTTACAGGAGCTATTGTGGGAGGGAGGGATTGGCAAGGGGGAAGGCCAGAGCCTGGATCAACAGTGGCATCTAGTGGCCTAATGGATTACTGGAAGGTGGGAGCCCAAGACCCCTGTGGACCAGCCCAGTCCCAGCAGCCCTTGCACCTCACTGTCACATTGGGGTTTCACTGGGACAGTGGGTGATAGCCAGGCACACGGAGATACCCGGTCCTGTTCCACCTGTAGAACCCAACTCCAAGCCAGTCCAGGGCTGCACGCACTCAGAGGTCTTTCTCCTCAGTGCTCTGTCCTAAGCAGTCGCTGCCTCTCTGTGGAAACCCCCTAGCAATAGTGCTTTCCAGAAATGATCTCCAGTGATGGTGGGGTGGGGGAGGTGTTGGGGCAAGAACTGCCTGGGAAGTGGGTACCTCTGCAGAGCCCATCCTGGGGACAGGGTCTTTCATAAGGGCTGTGCACATTCAGGGCCGTCCAGGGAGCCAGAAACTTACTGTCCCAGAGGGCTGAGCCCCTCCCTGGACAAGGGGACCTTGAAAGGGACATTTTACCCTGCTTGAATTGTGTTCCAAAAGCACACAAATGGGCCATCTCTTGGCTCAGCCCTGACCACAACCGGGTTTCCTAAGGGGGACAAGATCACCCCATTCTGATGCCGGTGAGTTCAGGGCCCTGGAAGAAGCCTCCATCCAGAGGCTTTGCCCGCCGTGGCTGTGGCCTGTCTACCCTGTGAGTTGCGTCTCTGGAGGATGCTGCATTTTGGAAGGTGTCAGTACCCCTCATCCCAGACACACCTGGGTGCTCCCCACTCTGAGATTTTGAGCCAAGGGCAGAGCTGCTGCTCTTTATGCAGCTCAGCACATCCCAGACCGGCTGTCAGCAGAGCCCTTTCCCTCTGCCCAGTCCCTCTCCCACTGGACCTGGCAGCTGGAGCTCTGGCCTTGGACCTTAGAGTGATTGTTCCCCCAACCCCCTGCCCCACCATCAGATACCTTTCAGAGATTAGGTTGGGACATGGGTGTGTGAACCATGAGCGAGGCAGCCTCCTCCAGGGCTCCCTGACAAACTTTGCCACATCCCACTGTGACATCCTTCTCCACAGTTCAGAGACCCAGGTCAGGAGGTCCAACAGGGCTCTGGAGTCATGTGCTGACCTCACTGACCCTGGGATCTCAACCACATGCCTCCTTGTCCTCCCCAGGTGAACCTGGTGCTCCAGGCAGGATCATGACTTCAGGTAGGCAGTTGGGGTGCAGCACCTGCCTAGGCTCTGCCTCATGTCCTTCCAGAGGTGCTGGGGGGCTATGGGGGAAGGTAGTGGGTTGCCCCACAAGCAGTGAGAGAGGGGCAAGGCCTGCGTGGCCTTAGTGCTCCCTGTGTCTCGTTTCAGAGGGGTCGTCGACCATCACTGTCCCAGGTCCCCCAGGACCTCCTGGTGCCATGGGACCCCCAGGACCTCCAGGTTCTCCAGGTCAGTCCAGTAATCTTATCCAAACTCTGAAGCCCAGGGGAGACCCTGAGGAGAGCCTGGTAGAGCTGGCTCTGGTGTCAGGCTGTGAGGCTGGAGGGTCGCCCTCCCTTGCAGCACACAAGAGCAGGGCAGTTATTGGCATGTGCTAGGGGCAGTAAGCAGCTAGGCAGGTACTGGACCAATTGTGCCCTCCTATGAGCAGCCAGCTCAGCCCCACAAGTGGCAATCTGAGGAGGTGCCTCAAGGCAGCAGAAGTGCCAGGAACCATCGAGGAGGGTCTTAAAATTTCCGTATAAAAATGAGGAGCTCAACTTGGCCAGCACAGACAAGCCCTGGTGATGTGGGGGGCAGAGAGGTGTCCCCAAGTCCTGAGGCAGCAGCACTTAGGGCAGCCCTGCTGGTTCACTCTCCATATGGCAGGCTGGCCCATGGGGCCACTGTGCCTCCCTTGTGAGGAATTCTGTGTGTTCGGGGCACCTGCCCTCTCTCCTGCTCTGGCTGTGAGGTATAACAGCCTCCTCCCTGCCCCCCATTCCAGGCCCTACCGGTCCTGCTGGCATCCCTGGACAGCAAGGTACGCCTTACCCTCGGAGAACAAAGGGTTGGAGGGAGGGTTCTCCTTTAGGGAGTCCCCTGGAGAGCCCACCCTCACCTATCCATCCCGGATAGAGCTGGAATGATGTCACAGGCCAAAGGCCTCTGGCCTCTGTAGGGCCCTTACAGTCAAGCCATTGTCCTGCAGTTTGCCCAAATACTGAGGGACAGCTATGCATTGGCCAAGCTGGCCCAGTCCTCTGGGGTGCAGGTGGCTGACTTGCCAGCTGTCTACAACCCGGTCTTGTCCATGTCCTTGTCTAACCCGTAGCTGGTCCTGGGCTGTCTGGGGGGAGGGGGTGGGGGGCAGGCGGTACCTCTCCTGACACTGTGCCCCCCCACAGGCCCGCGAGGGGAGCCCGGCCTGGCCGGGGACTCCTTCATGAGCAGCAGCAGCTCCATCTCCGAATTCCTCTCCACGCGTGAGCACCGCCCCTCCTGGAGGGAACCCCAGGGGACAGCTGGAGGCGGGGGAAACCAGGGGCAGCTGCTGGGCAGGCCACCAGGCCCAGGGGCACACGCTGAACACTGAGGACAGACAGTTGTGCTGTAGGCTCTGGTGAGGCCAGGCCATGGCACAGAGTGTCACGGGCAGCAGCTGCACCTCCCCATGCGGAGCCGCGGCCAACACTCTGGGTTCTCGGCCATAGGCTCAGGCTGGGGGTGGCTGGGGCCAGCCTCCAGCCTGCACCCCTGGAACTGGTTTTCAAGGCAACAGCCCAACCTAGCCATGGACCTGTTAGGGGCCCAGTGCTCTGAGGCCTCTTGTGGCATCTTCACGACCCTGCTCTGATGTGGGTCTCCTTGGCCCCAGTGTGCAGAACTGAGGTCACGAGAGCCAAGGCCATGCCCACGGTTACCAACCAGACACGGCCCACAGGATTTGAATGTGGGCTGCCTGTTCTCACCCCTCACTGTGCACACCTGCATCAGTGGTCAGGGAATTGGTCTTCACCTGTCCTGCCTGTGAGCAGGTGGGGTGTGGGCAAGTCCTGAGCCCCGACTAGGGCCTTGTGCTGGGGTAACGAATGTGGGCAGGGAGTCTGGCTCGGCAGGGAACAGCCTCACAACAGCTGTGCTCATCTCTGCCACCTTCTCTCTATAGAAGGCCTGGATTTGCGAGGGCCCCCAGGCCCGCCTGGACCACGTGGGCCACCAGGTGAGCCTCTCAGGCATCCCCGGGTCAGGGGCCTTGAGGGAGGGAGCTAGCTGCTGCTGGGGGCTAGGTGGTGGTGCCAGCTCCTGAGCACCCTGCTTTCCCTCTCCTTCTACAGGACCTTCCATCCCAGGCCCCCCAGGACCCCGAGGCCCACCAGGTGAGAGCCTACTTTCCTGCCGGGAGGGGGAGGACAGGTCTGTGGCTGATGAGGGCCCCAGAGCCCAGGCCTCGGGAATGGCTCCCAGCCCACCTCTGGGCACTAATTCAGCTTGGGTATCTCTCCTAGGGGAAGGCATGCCAGGCCCCCCGGGCCCCCCAGGATCTTTGCTAGCCGACTCAGGTAATGTCATGGGAGTCAAGTCACAACATGTTCTACCTGGCCCTGGCCAGTGCTCCTCCTGCCCTCCTCACCACACCCCACCACACTGGACCTCTGCCAGCCTGGTCCCATGTACAGCCTCTGGCCTGATATTGGCACAGGCCTGGTTCCTGCCCTTGGGGGGCCTGGCTGTGGAAGTAGGCCTGGCATGTTCCTAGTGGAGAGGCCCTGTGTGCGGGCCTCTACCTCCCAACTCCTCCTCCTCCATCCATGTTCATGTCTAACCCTATGAACAGTCTTGTGTCCGCTGTGCCAGGTACCATGCTGGGTGCTGGGAGCACATCAGTGTGTCCACCTGCAAATGCCTTCTCTCCTCTGCAGAAACCTTCTACTCTGGCCCTCCTGGCCCACCTGGTCCTCCAGGGCCCAAGGGAGACCAAGGTGAGGACAGTGTCTCAGGGAGGCCAAAAGCCACTCACGGAGACCCCTGCTTGCCTGCCTGGGGGCCAGAACAGTACTGAATGAGCTGGGTCCACAGCAGCAGCTCAGGGTGGAAGTGGGGAGGATGAGCAGAAACTTGGAAGACCTCTGCCCCTCATTGGCCAGCCAGGAGGAGAGGCCCAGGGAGCCCCATGTTCTGTCTGCCCCAGTGCCAGAGCCACAGTCCCCTCCTTCCATGTAACCCCCATGTTAGGATGCCCCTTACAGCTCTCTGTCTCCTTCCCTAGGTCCTCCTGGCCCCAGAGGACATCCAGGTAAGGCAGAGCTGGCACCAAACAAGCCTGGGTGGGCTCGGTGGTGGTGGTGGTATGGTGACCTTACAGGGTCTGGAAGCTTATGGGAAGACCTTACATGCAGGAGTGGATCAGGACACACCTCTGTGAATGGGTATGGGTGGCAGCTCTGGGTACTGTCCGGAGGGCAGAGTGGGAGAGTAAGCCTTGCTCACAGCTTCAGGGAGGCACTGAGCCCCCGCCCCATTGCTGCACCAGCCAGAGCCCCCATCCCACTGATTGTATCGACTGTATGCTTGGCTTCCAGCATCCGGTTCTCTTGGAGTTGATCTGCAGGGACGGCCAGGCCCGCCTGGCCCACAGGGACCCAAAGGTGACAAAGGTGAGTAAGGGAGCATCCAGGAAGATGGGGACAGTGGGCATAGCCAGGCACCAGAGCTCAACACCAAGAACAAGCAATGAGAATTCGTGAAAGTCCAGGGGAAAAGACAAGGCTGAAGAAGAGAGAGGCTAGTGGGAGGCTGGGATGAGGACGCAGCACAGTGGTGTGTGCACTATGGGTGCTAGTGGTATGCGGAAATGAGACCACATAGTCAGGAGTGTGGTTGGGCTTACCCAGGGAAGGCCTCCTGGAGGAGGTGATGCAAACAGGCCTTCCTGTTTTGGATTCCAGGTGATCCTGGTGTTCCTGGCGTTCCCTCCCGAGGTAAGAGCCAAAGGCGATCCCAGTTCCTCTCCCCTCCTCAAACAAGGGGGAGCACTCCCATGAGGATGTCGTGTGCTCAGTCCTCATCTGCTCTGCTCAGGTGCCTTTCCCACTTCTGGGACTCATAGCAGGGGTGGGGGGAGGACCAGGCCTGGCAGGCGGGGCGCTGGGCAGGGCAGTGGCTCTTTGAAGCCAGGAGGGCCCCCGTTGCAGCCCCTTTTGGCCAGCACTGCTGCAACCACTGCCATATCTCTTCTTGGGGACCTTCTTGGCTGCCATCCTGCCCTTCGCTCGAAAGGTCCCTCCCCTTGTGGGCAGCAGTGGACTTGGGTCCCTCTTCACCATAGCCACGATGGGGGAAAGCCACCAGGGCCCTCCTCTCGCCACAGGGGGATCATCGAGCACCATGTACATGCAGGGCCCACCTGGCCCACCCGGGCCCCCTGGGCCTCCTGGCTCCCTCAGCAACTCCGGCCGTGAGATTCAGCAGTACCTGTCCGAGTACCTGCAGAGTGAGTGCTTGTCGCCCACACCTGAGGGAAGCAGGAGAGCGTGCACACCTGTGTGCCTGAGTGTGCCTGTGAGTGTGTGCATTCCTCACCTGGAGCCAGACCTCCCTGACCCCACCTTCTCACACCTGCCCCCAACAGAGACAGACACACACCACAACCCCTTGCTGGTCAAGCAAGTAGCTGCCACTGGTTCACAGCCTTCCCGCCCCACCTGATCTGACACAGGCTGCTGCCTCAGTTTCCCCACCTGTAACAGGGCATCTAGGCTGCCTGTGTGAGGGATGGGGCAGACATCTCATCAAGCTGTCCGGGCACTCCATGGATGACTGGCTCTCTCAGGGCCACCCTGACTTGGCTCCATACCCTGTTGGCAGGTGACAGCATTAGGACTTACCTTTCTGGAGTCCAGGGTCCCCCTGGCCCGCCTGGCCCCCCAGGGCCTATCACCACCATCACGGGTGAGACCTTCGACTACTCGGCGCTGGCAAGTCTCGTCGTGAGCTACCTGAAGAGTAAGAGCCCTGTGTTCAGTTACCCTTCTCCTGCGTGTCTGCTGTTTCTCTTACCTGCAGTGGGATTGCCCTTCTCCTGGATATGCCTTTAGAGTTGGGCCTTGGAGGTCTACCTCTGTAGGACCACATGGTGAGCCAGGCCTTAGGAGCCTCCCTGCCTGGGACTGGCAAGATCTGAGCCACAGGATTCCAACCTGCTCAGGACAGGGTGCTGCAGGCTGGCAGGGTCTGGGAGGAATCGGCTGAAGTATGTTCTGGAAAACAGCCTGCATTGCTAACCAAAACATCAGACACCTTTGACCCTTCCATGCCTTCAGAATAACCTCACCATGCCTGGTTCCTCCATTTCCCCACAAAGAGAAGCCATATGCAGACCAGGTCTTTCAGATCCAGGCCTGGCAAGGGTATGGCCCAGGGACTGGACAGGCAACTAACCTAGGGCCTTCCTGCCCACAGCTTCTGGGTACAGCCTCAGCTCGTCCTCGGGCACCATCTCTTCTGAGGACATCCTGGCGGCACTGCAGCGTGAGTCACTTGCAGTGGACTGGGCAGGGGGTGAAGGGGATGGGACTCTGATCTCACTTGTCAGGCATGCCTTGTCCATCTGAACCTGGGAGGCAAGGAATCACTCTCTCATTGCTGAGTCCATTAAGGGATGCAGTGGGATGGTGAGTCTCTCCCTCCGATGCAAGGAAGCAGACAGGCACCCCTGCAGGCCTGGGACCTTGCTGCCCCCCGGCCTGACCAGGATGGGCAGTGGCACCTGCCTGTGGCCAGAGTGGACCCATGCTGATATGCTCTCCTTTCCAGGGGATGATGTGCGTCAGTACCTGCGCCAGTTCCTGATGGGCCCTCGGGGTCCCCCTGGGCCCCCAGGAGCCAGTGGTGATGGGTCCTTGCAGTCATTGGACTACACAGAGCTGAGCAACCGCATTATCAGCTACCTGTCCAGTGAGTGTCTGCCCTCTGGGCACAGTGGGTGGGAAGGGCGCCCTCCTGCCAGGAGACCCCCACCACCTTCAGAGTCACTCCAGCCTGTGACCCCAGAGCAGATAAAAGGAAACCGACCCCAGAGGCTGGGCACGTCGTGCATGGACCTGGCTCCCTTCTTCCCCCCCTTGACACACACACACACCGACAAGTGGTGTCTGTCCTGCCCTGGACTTGTTCCTCCCGGGTCCCGACGGCCCTTGCCTCAGTGGCAGTACAGCCCAGGACAGCAAATGGCATCCTTCCTCCAGCCCCTCCTCCCAGCCTTCTTCCCTCGCCCTGGCCCCACTGGTGCCCAGGTCACTGCCTTTTCCTATTGCATCTGAACCCATCACAACTGGGGATTTTTGTCCCCCAGGCTCTGGGATCAGCATTGGCCTTCCTGGGCCCCCAGGACCCCCAGGCCTGCCAGGAACATCCTATGAGGAGCTCCTCTCCCTGCTCCGAGGTGAGGTTGTGCACAAAGTCTGTCCACATGGCAGACGGTGGAAGCAGCGGCCTCGGGCTGGGCTGTGACTGACTTCTTGCCCTTCCTTGGTCTCTCAGGGTCTGAATTCAGAGGCATCGTCGGCCCCCCAGGCCCTCCAGGACCCCCAGGGATCCCAGGCAACGCATGGTCCAGCATCAGTGTGGAGGACCTCTCCTCTTACTTGCACAGTGAGGCTCCAGGGAGTGGGCACAAAAGGGGCAGGGGACATGGCCTAGGTTTGAGGTGCCTATAGATTTTGGCAAGGGCAGCCATGAAGAGCTAAGCCAATATTAGGCCACCAAGCATGACCAAGCATGTTCCAGAAAGGAACCCATTGATGAGGTGTCCTTGGCCTTTGCAGGGAGGGAAGCTGCACTCCCCACTGTGGTCCCAGAGAACTGAGAGGCTGGTGGGCTTAGGGTCAGACCAGGGGCTCCTAGGTTCCATGGTGGAAGGGCTGGGGTCTGGGCAGGAAGGAGACTCACAGTGAGAGGGCGGATACAGGGCAGCCCCTCCCAGAGGATACAGGCAGGAGGGCAGGCACTACGCTGCTAGCTACTTCAGCCTCAGCCGCTCCTTCCCACCAGGGGATGCTGTCCTTGCAGCATGCCCCCTGACCTTCCTCTCTCTCTCTCCCCTCAACCCAGCTGCCGGCTTCTCTTCCATCCCAGGCCCTCCCGGTCCTCCTGGTCCTCCTGGACCTCGAGGGCCCCCAGGGGTCTCCGCAGCTCTGGCCACCTATGCAGCTGAGAACAGCGACAGCTTCCGGAGTGAGCTGATTAGCTACCTCACAAGTAGGTACCCTCCCATGCCCTCACCTCAGCCCTGTAAGTGGCACAGCAGGTGCCTGATGTCACATGGAGACCAAGTGCATGAGGGTCCCTCCTCACCAGCTCACCCCTGCTCATGTGTAGGGACCTTGAGGCCCGGGAGAGTCACCCAGGTTCCCGAGTCTCTCCAATTCAACCTGGGCTCCTGTCTGCAGGTCCTGACGTGCGCAGCTTCATCGTGGGCCCCCCAGGCCCTCCAGGGCCGCAGGGACCGCCTGGGGACAGCCGCCTGCTGTCGCTGGATGATGCCTACAGCCGGAGAAGCAGCTCCTCCTCACACAGCTCAGCTGCCCGGCGGGGCTCCTCCTATAGCTCTTCAATGGGGGGTTCCCTGGGTGAAGGGGGAGCCTTCAGTGCAGGCGACGGGGGCCCTTATGACACCGACTTCGACACAGACGGAGGCTTTGAGGCAGCAGAGGGCGGCATGTACGGCGGATCCTTACGGGCTGGGTTTGCTGGAGACCTGGATTACAACGAGCTGGCTGTCCGTGTGTCCGAGAGCCTGCAGCGTAAGTAGGAACACGTAGGCTTCGGTACTGGGGGAGGAGGGGCTTGTGAGCCTGTGAGAGCCCCTTGGCATCCAGGTTTCACACTGGCCCTCCCATTTTTGGACAGCACTTCTGGAATCTGTTGGGCAGGGACTAAGGACCAAAGGCATTGTCTTAGTTATCAGCCAGCTCAGCCCAAGGGTCCCGGGTCTGGACCTCAGTGCCGGGAGAGTCCCAAGCAGCCTAAGCAGGGGTCTTCATGCTTCGCTTTCCCACAGCTAACTGTTCCGGTCTCCCAAGAGTCCTGAGGACCGTGACAGTTTTCTGCTGAGTCCAAAGGGCTCAGGCCCTTCTTCCATGTGGCTTGTCTGCACAGTTCGGCATGCGCAGCAGCGGGGCTGCTCCCCAGGGCCCTGCTCCCTGCAGCCACACTCTGGTGTTTTCCAGGTCAAGGCCTGCTGCAAGGGATGGCCTACACTGTCCAGGGCCCACCAGGCCGGCCTGGGCCCCAGGGGCCCCCTGGCATCAGCAAGGTCTTCTCTGCCTATAGCAACGTGACTGAAGACCTCATGGACTTCTTCCGCAGTAAGGACCTCCCCTTGCTTTCCCAGCACCTGTCTTGCTGTGTGGCCTGCCAGTGGTCTGCACTGCAGACACAGAGCTCATGGAAACCCTCTTCACACTGGAGAGGTTCACGCCCCAATCAGCTCTGAACTGTGCTTCCTCAGGCACCTGCAACTTCTCCTGGCTGTCCGTGAGGCTTTGAACAGTTAACTGGGCCTTGAGAAGGCTCCAGTTAAGCCCCCTTTTTCACCTCCTTGTAGCTTATGGGACCATTCCAGGACCCCCTGGGCAGAAGGGAGAGGTGGGCATCCCAGGACCCAAAGGTAAGCGGTAACAGAGAAGCAGTCCCGTACATGGCATCATGACCACCTGGTGGTGCCTCAGCCTCTCCAGTCCCTACACTCACTTGGCACTAACTCATGTCCTTGACCGTCCCTCCAGGCGACAGGGGTGCTGCAGGACCAAGAGGTCCCCCTGGGCCACCTGGCCCTCAAGGGCACAAGGGAGAAAAAGGAGACAAAGGTAAGAGTCACAGCCACGGGCTGGGGAGTGCCAGGATGCCGGGCTCCACAGGCAGGCCGCTCATGCTACAGGGGCAGGGGAAGGCATCAATGAAGGGAAACGCTGCTGAGAATGTCACCTGACAACAGTCACCCTGACAGCTGGGGGGAGGGGAGAGGCGTTCACATGCGTGCAGGCAAGGAGGAGGTTGGCATAAATTCAGTCTTGCAGATGTCATCTTTAAAGCCTTCTTTGCAACTAGCTATAATTGCCCTAATGGCCCAAACTGAAGTTCCCCACAGGCCACAAGGCATTTTTTTAGTATATTTTTTTAACTTCCTGCCTGTTTTCTACCTTTCAGGTGACCAAGTCTATGCTGGGCGGAGGAGGAGAAGCATTGCCCCCAAGCCGTGAGCTAGCCTTGGCAGAGGAGGCTCCACCACGTTCTCTCAAGCATAAAGCTGATGTCTGCTGACAGCCTGGCCAAGAACCACCAGCAACAGCTGCAGTCTGAACAAGATACCTGCACACACACAGGATTCCAAGACAGTCTGACAGCCTCATGAGATGGACTTACAGAGCAGGTGCAATGTTTTAGACTGACTTCTCTATCTAGATCTGAGCTCTGGCTTCTGTAATACTTAGTTCAAACCCCGACCTAGGAAAACCAGTTCATACAAGGTCAGTTCGGGACTCTTGGAGCTTTGTCTACAATTGAGTCCAGAAGACAGAAATGGGATGGGGTGCCTTCCTCAAGGCAACACAGGGCACGTGTGTCCTGGTTACTGCTACATGGCTGCACTCGCAGCTCCTTTCTCCACTGTTCCCTCTGCATTCTTAAGTCACAGAAGAGCTGGCTAAGAAGTGATGCTTGCAACTGACAAAATTCAGAAACCCACTTCCCCTAAAGGCGATGACAGGGTCTCTCATGGTTATATTAAATGTGCATATCATAGTCTCACCGGCTTAGCAAGTCTGGCTGCCGCCGCTATGATCTATCGCCATAGGTCCACCCTACGGTGGATTATAGATGTTACACTGAACTAGACTGTAGCAAATAGAAAGGGAGGGCAACGGGCAAGGACTAAAGGAAGAGGAGGGGAAGCGAATCCCTGACACCGGGAGAGACGGCTTCCACCTGGGACGGCCCCTCCTGTCCTATGCTGAGGACACAGTGGCGGGGCTGGGTGCAATGGGTTTTTAAGCACTTTTCAATGTCTGAAAATGTTTGTATGTGGTCTATGAAATGAAAAGTCATTTCAGTTGTAAAATTTCCAATTAAAGATTTTTTTCTAAAATCACGTTTAATGTGAACCATCTGACTAGAGAAGTAAAAAAGGAAAGAAAAAGAGAATGTGTTCTGGGTTACTTTGTCCTAACATTATTTACATAAAATGCAAGGGAAAAAAAAAAAGGCTGTATTTTAGGCCACATTTCTGGCATTTGATGTCATCACTGAGTGTCATCACTGAGACCTTTCACAGGCCACTGGTAAGTATCTGGGACAAAGTATCTGAAGGTTTTCACTAAGCCTAGATTACTTGAAATAAGCACATGCAACAAAGAAGTAGGAACATTTGCAATTGCTGCAGTGATTTACCCTGGGCCAAAGGAACATGGACAAGTAACATGAAATATGAAAATTCCGGGCCCGGTGTGATAGCATAGTGGTTAAAGTCTTCACCTTGCATGCCTGGGATCCCATATGGGCGCCGGTTTTTATCCCGGCAGCTCCATTTCCCATTCAGCTCCCTGCTTGTGCCCTGGGAAATCAGTCAAGGATGGCCCCAGACCTTGGGACCCTACACCCGTATGGGAGACCTGGAGGAAATTCCTGGCTCCTGACTTCAGGTCGGCTCAGCACCGGCTGTTGCAGGCACTTAGGGAGTGAATCATCGGACAGAAGATCTTCCTCTCTGTCTCTCCTCCTATCTGTATAACTACCTTTCCAATAAAGATAAATCTTAAAAAAAAAAAAGAAATATGAAAAATTCCTGAGGAAAAAATGTGTGGGTATCAGGTACCCCAAAGAGATGCACAGTAAAACCATTAAATGCAGATGACAACATACTTGATCAACTTGTCAGTTTCTTACTAGACAACTGGAAACGGGGTTGAATGAAATCTACTTCTCCACCTCTACTCTCCTCAAAGACTGACCTCTCTATTCTCCATGGTCTCTTATGCTAGAGAGGACACCTCACGTTTCCTTTCATGCTATCAAGCATTCCCCGGCACCAGCACACACCAAACACTACACTGGTCTTCTGCCTCCCATACCACATCATGGCCACGGACAATGAGATTTAACCAAATAGTTCACATGGTCTTCAGAATTTTAGCCCACCTCTCATCATCCGATGAAAACTTAAATGACTGCAAAAACGTACCTTTCAATAAACTTTAAAAAGAATCCACTACTTTTGCCCCAAAACTGAATTTCCCTTTACTTTTCTTACAAGTAGCTCAGGGGCTGGATTTTGGGGACCTTCCATGCCCGTGTCTTCCAGCAGGGTCTGGCTTGAGCACTGGCCCCTCTGCCTCTAAGGCAGCTTGCAGAAGTGTACCCCGGGAGGCAGCTGGCTTCAACACTGACTCCACCACCGTGCAGGGAGCAGACAGCTCCAGGCCCCAGCTCTGCCCTGACCTTGGCTGCCGTAGCATTTAGAGTCAAGAAGATTTCTCTCTACCCTTCAAATAAAATTAAACTTCTTTTTCCTAAGAGGTAGCATTCAAAGGCTCAAGTACTGAAATTCTTTCCTTAAAGTGGCTTGTATTTATTTGAAAGGCACACACAGAGATCTCTAAACTGCTTGCTCACTCCCCAGATACCCACAAAAGCCAGGGACCAGGCACTCAAGCCAGGTTTCTCATGTAGGAGGCTGAGAATGAACAACTGAGCCAGCACCTGCTGCCCCAAGGACTGTCCTAGTAAGAAGCTGGGGTCCACAGCCAGAACTGGGAAAGCAAGCCAGGACCCCAGCATGGGTCCACCTCATACTCCCTTCTAAGAATGATTCTTACCTTAATCAGATTAGGAGTTTCCTCCTCTTACTAGATTTATACCTTACGAAGATACCCAGGTCTTCACAGAGTTCTTTGCCCAAGTGAAATGGCATGGAAGTCCAAATCCGCAGTCTCCTCTGAACAAAACCCCAGAGCGAGGATGGGCAGTTAGGAAGTATGACCTCAGCTGGACAGCACTGGATCTGAGTCTCTCTTTTCATCTTTAAAAAAAAGAAGGTCAAGAATGAGCTCATTTGTGTACAACACTGCTAGATTAGAAAATGACATGTTTGCCTCCCTCCAGCCACGCAGAACACTTGCCAAATGATGCTGTCCACTGCCTTGCTGAACCTTGTATATCAATGATGAAAAGAGGTTATTTTAGCAGAAGTGACATCATATGATATAAAGCTTGGCAAGAAGGAATATCCATCCCAAAGGGGTAAAGTGGAAGAATGTGTACATACATATCAGTGCTGGATCCTTCCAACCACTCCCCTGCCCCACAGCAAATCACCAGTGAGAACTACACCCTGTGGTTTCTAACTGCCGACAGCGAGGAACATTAGTAAAGGGATGGGAGACCCAGATGACGGTGAGTCTGAAGATACAACCTGGACTCCAAAAGCACAGTGTTCTCACGCAGGACAATCTAGTTCCAAAGTTTCTCAACAAAAAACTGCTTCCCAAAATATATAGTAAGAAATAACTTTATTTTTCATTTTCCAATATCATGATTAAAAAGACATACTGATCCCAAGTAGACAAGAGGCATAACCTGAAACAAAATTCTGAAAATTTAGTCTGTGAACGTTAACAACACCGCAAATCAGAGAATGATCACAAAAATGCTGCAGTCAGCCAACACTTAAAAGTTGGTGAAACACTCTATTCTGAGATTAGAAGCAGAAATGTTAAAGCTTTTTCAAAAAAGAACAGCCACAGAACAGCAACAATGGAGGCATTAACTGTTGTGCCTTCAACTGGAGAAAAGCATTAAAAAATACCATCCCATTTCCCAGAAAAGAACTGATGTATTGAATCAGTAGACTATTTGCACTGGCATTTTCTTCTTCCCCTTCGGTTCCAGGTTTTTTTTTTTTTTGATGAATTGCATCTCTAGCTAACACTTGGACTTGGCTTCTTAGAGGAGTCCTTGTGACTTCAGTATAGTGTGGACTGGGGAAAGTGTGTGCTTATAAGGGAAATGGAAGAGTACAAAAGCAGTCACTTCTGGAACTTGCTGATGCTCAAGAAATCAGAGACAAAGGTCTCATATGCCTGAGAGCTTTGTGCTTGAGGAAACACTACTTAGAGGTAGCTCTGGTTCTGGTTTATATTTCATTGATTTGTTGGGTCCTGTCACAGGAAGGTTCTAATAGCTTGAACAAAGTGAAAATACTCTAAATTTTCTCCTTTTCCACACTATAGCTTTCTCATAGGAAAGCATCAGAAAGAGCTTCATCTAACTCACACAGAACAGCAGCTAATTCAGCAACTCATACCCTGTGGGTTGACAGGACTAGGAAAGGCAGCCTGGTGCTCCAGGCTCTAGCAGCGGGACCTGTGGGAGAGCGGAGGCCTTGTGTGTCCACAGCCCTCAGGGGAACAAGGGCAGTTACACTCGGGTACACATGCATATCACGGCACATTCTGTGGCAGCAAGAACCAAGCAAATCAGGAACGGATTTGGCTATGCTTACATTTCAAAGAAATCTGCCCTCCCTAATTTCCTCCTCTTTACTCCATACAAGAGACCATTATTACCTACTGGAATACAGGACCCTATAGAGAGGGGTAGGTAGGTATACAAATAGCATATTCTATTAACAACACTTTTTGAAAATATATAATTGTAAGTGCTGAGTGACTGCTTCATCTTTGCATGTCCTGCACCCATGTGGTCATATTTGAAAGAGAAGTCAAGCGCAAACACTGAAAGAAAAGGGCGGATCTAATTAGGTGGGGCACAAGGCATGCCCGGCAACTTACCCCAAGTGCTTAACCGTCCCTCTCTGGGCCTTGCCTTGATTCAAAAATCTCAAAGTCAAGTTACAAGGATTAGGAAGAATCAGATGTTCAGACCAAATCTATAATGCACCACTACTCAGCACACATGGCATCATTTAAAATATTTGGAAAAAATGCCTACTGCCTGAAGTATTCATTTTTAAAATCCCAATAAACTGAAAAATCTCAAATGAAAAAGTAGTATGAGAATCTTCTTCCCCATCCCCCTTCAATAAATCATTAAATACACCGGGCAACATTATACCATCATTTTTATCATAACAATATAAACAATTTCCATCATCATCATCCTGAATATTACTTTATAAAGATATATATATTTCAAAAGGCTTTCCAAACAATCTTCAACGCAGCAGTTGAGAATAAAGCATTAAGAGTTTTGTATATAGTAACACATTCATGAAGTGTATGTGTATGAATTTACAACCATACATAATATATATGTATATATATTTATATAAAAAACCAACTTGGCCAGAAGTTAAGGCTACCTACAAAGTTGTTCAAGTAATTATACTTGTCAAAACAATGATAAAGTTAACACCATACATGCATTTTTAAGTCCTCTAAACCACCGAAGTAAGGTTCAGCATCCAAAGTTTCCAAATTAACTGCAAGAAAAGTGCTACAGACATTTACATGTTCTTAATATGAAATCAGTGTTCCCAGAACATAACATTTAAATTTTTCACCAGCCTCAAAATAATATAAAAATGGAAAACTCTTATACTTTGGGGAAGGAGAGGTTAGATACAGCAGGCAAGAAGCACCATTTACAAATGTGCTTGCTCCTGCATCCAAGTATGGATTTAATACTGTCTGACTGGACACATGGTTGAAATTCTAAGTCTCAAAAATGACTAGGAGTGAACATTTAATTAATAATTATATATATCAGCAGTCACATGATAAGGTTTCAGGCTTTTTCCAAGCAAATCAAATAATTTAAACATGGAACAAAATAAAATCTCATTTAAAAATAACAGCATTTCTAACATTTGTCTTAATATTTAAATCCTGTTTGAAAAAGTATTGTGAACAAATGTCTCAAGATTAATTTCATAAAATGTATTTATAAATATAATTCAGAGCCTATAGGCTTCTGATAGTTTGAAACGAACAGAATGTGCCAAGATGGAGACAAGCTTTCTAACCAGTTCCTGTATTATTTTAGGAAATAAACTGGGACAGCTAAATTCATTTAATTTTAATTTGGCAAAGTTTACATTTCCAATTTGCAAATCTAAAAAATCATTTTTTTAACTTTCCAAACATTGTATACATGCATTTTATGATGAAAATTTCTATCAAACACAGATTTTAAGAATAATGCTTAATGCAAAGATGTTTTATCCCTGTTGAAAATTTAGTGCTTTAGGCACTATCTTAATAAAACTAGCACCCTCAGTCATGAAATTAACTCATGCCTAAACAGGCAATCATTTTCAACAAATTACCAAAGTAAGTTTCTACTTCAAAATGACTTTTATTTAAAATTAAAATATATTTATTTACTTGAACCAACAGCATATTTTGAGCAATTCATTGCTTTTTTATAAGTGCTGAATCACCAAATGAAACTATTCAGCAGTTTCAACCACAGAATTTAGGTCATGTAAAAAGATATTTATTAACAATACTTAGCAATGTAACAGGTTTTTAAAAATAAATTTAAACATTATTTCTCCAACAGTTTTGCAGGTAATAGTGTCTAAAGAACACACAATTTTTAAGATTAATATACAAAGTAACCTTAGGGAAATATTAAATGATGCAACTTTGCCAACATGGCCCAGCATCTGTCTTAGTTCACTTTCCCCATCATCTTTGCTTAAAATAAAATACAACACAAAATAAAACAAAAACCCTACAAAGTGAGGCAGGTGATTGTCTTCATGAGCCATTTGCTAGATTGTGGCAGAAGATGGAGAGAATGTTAACAATGTACTTAGAAATCCGAACCAGTCACAGTAGGCCTCCCATTCTTATGACCCAGTGGAATGCAAGCTGGGAATGGGGTAGAATTTTGAAATGCGGCTCTGGGCTGATGGGTTAAGGCATTCAGACTCTCCAGTCATTTTAAAGAACACTTCCTGCTCCTGGAGTTTCCTGGCAAATTCTTCTTCCAGTGTCTATAAAAAAAAGAGAGAGAGAAAAATTTTTATGTGTTGATACACATAATTTATTCTGACAAGAGAAATAAACCTGCATGTCCAGAACACCTTCTGAGCTTTGACCATCCCTAGGCACAGGGCTCAGCTCAGTCACGTCCAGAGACACCCTGACCCATTAACTTCTCTTCACTCCATAGTCATTTCATACTGCCAGGGACCCTTGAGTCCGACACCCACAGTGCGAGGAGGGAGAAGGTTCTGAACAGGGTGGTCTGGGAACAAACTGCCCGCGCGATCCGCAAGGCCCAAGCTGAAGATGCAGTGTTGCTCTAAAAACACGCACTCCCAGAGCTGGTGTGTTCCGTCGGCAACCCTGCTCTCCCGGTGGCCATGAGGTTCTCCTGGCGGACTTGGGCCAGTGAGCAAGGGATCAGGAACATGAGCTTAGGCTATTGCCAAGTCAGCAGAAAAACTTGATACTCCAATTTAGAATATAGACTGTGTCTCTCTGCGAGTCTCAGGGCAGCGGGTCCAGCGGGGCCTGGGTCTCCTGGCTAGGGTCCTTGGCCCACCTGTGAGAACTGGTCCTCCTCAGTGGAAAAGACAGAGCAGTGGACAGCTGGCCCAGATCCACATGGAGAATATGACAGCCCATTGAGCCCTGCAGGGGACATCTGTACCACTCCAGGAGAAGGAGATCAGAACAAACTGGACAACCATCCCAGCCACACGATGACAGCAAAAATCTGGGTGAATGGAGACTCTAAGGTCAACTATGTCAGCCAGTGGTGAGATGGGCAGCATTTCAGAACCATCCAAACCACCTGGGCAGAACCCTCGGTGTGTGTGCTACACTGGGACCCTGGGTCGACACTGGGTGGTGTTTCCCCTTCCCTGGGTACTGGAGAGGTTGGGAGGCAGGGTCTGGCTTTTTCTCTTATCTCCCCCTTCACCCCCCAAGTAAAAGAACCAGTTAATCTTCACTTCCCCATATTACAGAACAAAAAACAGCCAGTGCTTGATAAACACATGAGACACAGCTGTGATCTGAATGTATCCCCCTCTTTCCCAGAAAATTTTCATATTTAGTCCCAAATGTGATAGTATTCAGAAGCTGGGCTTTAGGGTGATTACATCATGAAAGTAGAGTTCTCATGCCTGGCTCTTCTGTGAGAAGCTGAAGGGAAAGTTTGTCCCCCTTCACCACGTGAGGACAAAATGAGAAGGTGGAGGACCATGACCCAGGACATGACCCCTACCACAGCCTGACCACGCTGTTACCCTGCTCTGGCCTTTTCAGCCTCCCATTTGCAGCATGTCTGCTACAGCAGTCCAAACAGCTTAAGACAGGCAGCAATGACTTCGTGGACATGACAGAGGGCTAAGGGCTTTTGTAAAGGTATAAATTACAAGGCAAGACAGGATACAGGAAGCTATTTTAGAAGAGGTGAAACATGAGCTCAGGCTGCAGGAAAGATTAAGAGATCAGCAGGATGGGGCAGGCACACAGAGTGGGCCAAAACAGTGGCTCAGCAGCAGGAACCCACAGAGCTGACTTGAAGACCAGTGACTCCCCCAGGCTGGACCCAGAGTCTCCAGGCAGTGCAACAAAGCTGCCAAGGTCATGCAGCACTAGGAAAACTTCAATGTCAACCTGAGGCACTGAGATTAGCACTATCACAACAGTATCAGAGATGTTCTTACAAAATAAGGATTCTGGGGACGCGAGACAAGTAGGAAGTAGGGAGAGGGTGCAGACTAGAGGGCGGGGGGAGGAGCGGTGCTACTGGACAATCTAAGCAAGCAGTAGGCTAAGGACAGCAACAAGATTAAGTGCAAATACTAGGAAGAGAACAAGAATTGGCATCTAATGGAAATGGGACATAACTGAGAAATCAATCAGGTTTCCAGCCTGGATGTCAATGAAGAGGACAGAAATATATGCAGAAGAACTGGCGTCAGGTCAGACTGCAGGAAGAGCTCAAGGTGAGACAGACACAAAAGAAAAGATGCTGAATAGGTTGGCTCTCTGCTGAGTTCACATTCTTCAGTCAACATTCGATAGATTTGACTGATCGTTTATAATGTGTCAGAAATGTTCTATTTGTAAATGGCTTAAATTCTCAAGGAAAAATAACAATAAACAAACACACCTGAAGGTGAATAATATAAAGAAAGAAAAAAGGGGGGGACTCAGAATGTCTGGGTGGGCATGAAGGATATTTTGTATCAGTGATCAAAAGAAGAAAACATTTGATGAGATCACATGACCAAAGGCCTGAATGACAAAGAAGCAGAACTTCAAAATGGGATATGGGGGGCGGGGTGGGCACCAGCACATGATTCAGTTGGCTAATCTTCCCCTAAAGCACCAGGATCCCATATGAGCACTAGTTCTTGTCCCGGCTGCTCCACTTTCCATCCAGCTCCCTACTTGTGACCTGGGAAAGCAGCAGAGGGTGGCCCAAAGCCTTGGGACCCTGCTCCTGCATGGGAGACGCAGAAAAAGCTCCTGGCTCCTGGCTTTGGATCGGCTCTACTTTGGCCACTGCAGCCATTTGGGGAGTGAACCAGTAGATGGAAGATTTTTCCGTCTCTTCTGCTCTCTGTAAATCTGCCTTTCCAATAAAAATTTAAAAAAAAAAAAGAGAGAGATTGGGAATGTGGGGGTTTTAAAGCCAATCTGTTAATGATAAAAATACCAAATTATAGCAAGAGCAGACATTCACTGAACTCTGAGTGTGACTCAGGTAGTGGGATGAGTGCCACTCAGTTGTCATTTCTTGGTAGCTTTCTTAACAATCTTATACAACCCAATTAAGAGGCTAGCAATGCCAGTTTCTACAAATCAGATATAGAAATACTAAGTGATGAAATTCATCGGTAATCGTCACCACTGAGATCTGAATCCATATCTGTGTATTTCTGGCACATAAAAGGGGCCATAAGAATTCAGAGTTCACAGAAAATGAACTTGAAAAAAGTTTCCTCGTAACTTTCTGAAGTCCCTGCATACGTTATCTTTTTAACTTACTGACTGAGTGGATGTATCGGAGAAAGGAATGACTGAAACGCGTGGCAGGAAGATGCAGAGAAAAGCAAGGTTTAAGTCTGAGGGTTAGCACAGGGCGAGGGATCACACAGTGCAGGTACGGACGGAGCTGACTCACGACGGGGACCAGCCAGTACGCAGGCAAGTGCAGATAAACGGGAAGCAAGCAGAGGAGCAAGGTCATCCTTCTTACACTAGATTTAACTTTGCATTTGGAAGGATTATTAATTCATTAATTTACATGACATCCAAGGAATCCCTAACTTGGCTCCAAGAAACTGCTCCAGACTTTCGATCATCACTGTCCCTTCTTTTTTCGCTCCTGAATGCCTACACACAGGTTCACACACAACCCTGCTCAAACACCACCCAAATGCTCCAGTAACAGGCAACTTCTTAAATTCCTGAACTTCATTTTCACTCATCCTCTACTTCAACTGTCCCCGCCCCGCCTCTGCCACTGGGTTTCACTCCACTCTGTTGGGGGTCCTGCCAAGCGCCTATTCACCTTCAAGCCCTGCTGGGCTCCCAAGGCACCTCTTCCCCAAGGGCGCCTCTGCCTTCCAGGCTGACTGAACCTCTGCTTCGCTGTCCTTAGCCTGTCCCCTGGACTGACATCCCCCGCACCCATGACCCTCAGAACTGATCGCTGAGCGGCATTCAGTTCTGAATCTGCTATGTCTTTCCATTTATCTCCTGTCCCTGACACATGACCTGACACACAGTGGGAAAAGAGCCAACAACTGGGTCACGAATGAGTGTGTAAGTACCATTTTAATTAAACTGTTTAACAATTACCTTTTTCCTTGGTCTCAACTTCTCTCTCCACTCTTTCAATTCTTGGCTGTGTTCCTCATCTAGCTCTTTCAACTTCTGCGTCTCATGCTCAACCAACAGGTGACATTTTTCATTCTAAAGATAAAGTCATATTAAAAAACAACCTCAGATCAACTTATTTTCCAAAATAATAATTTACTCATCAAACATCAACCACTACTGAGGTTTCAAATTATCCTTTAAAAACCAAGAACCATCAAAACAGTGAGCAGCTTCCTGTTCACATGTTCAGGAGCTATAACAACTTTTGCGTCTCTAAAGAACACAGTTATTTCAATTGCAGCATTTTCTTGTATCATGTGCCATTTCATTCGGTGACCCGCTCTTCTCCCCGAAGCAGCCCCTCGAGCGTCGCCTCCTGGAGCTTTGTCCTCCGCTCTGCGTCTCACCTGGAGCTGATGCAGTTCTCGCACGTTAGCTTCACACTGCAGCTGAAGATCCCGCATCTGATTTTCATGTTTTTGATGCTGAGCCATTCTTTCATTTTTCTGCCTCTTCTCTTCTTGGGCTGCAAACTATAAGCAAGAAAAAAACAAAAGACACAAATTACGCTAATGAGAAATATAATTTCTACAAATTCCAAAAGTGTGGTTAAGGGATTTAACAAAAGTTAAAAAGAACAATTACTTAAGATATAACCAGTAACATGCTGTAACTCAAAGCTAAGAGTTCACATACTAAATTGGCCAGAATCGCCTGACTAAACCTTAATCCGGTCATCTGCTTACTGACTTTATGAGACCTGTGACAGTACAGAGACCACAATGGGGTCATACATGTTGGCTACCAAGCTATCAAAGGGGCTGGTGTTGTGGTGTCACGGGGCAAGCCACTGCCTGCAATGCTGCCTTTTATATGGCTGGCTCCACTTCCTATCTAGCTTCCCACAAACGTCCTTGGGAAAGCAACAGCAGATGGCCCAGATGAAGCTCCCGACTCCTGGGTTTAGCCTAAGTCTCAGCTACTGCAACCACTTGGGGAGTGAATCAGTAGAAGGCAACTCTCTGTCTCTACCTCTCTCCTTTTCGCCAACTCTTTCAAATTAATGAATAAAATAAATCTCAAAAAACTGGAGAAAAAAACCTGTCCAAGTTACCTCATTCCCAAGGACTGACCCTAGAACCAGTTCAGCCCAGGATTTGGTGAGGGGCATGACAGGAAAGCCTTTGCTCTCTGCAGTCACCACTCTGGGAAGATGTGTTGGAGTGCATATAACATGCCTCTAGTCCCAGCCCACAGACTGAAGTGCACACCAAAAAGCCCAAGCCAAATATTTACAAAATAATTCTGTGGTATGACAAAGGTCATTCAGAGCCTCTGCAGCCTGAAAGAGAGCAGGGGATGCAGCACCTGGCCAGGCCTTTGTGTAGAGTTCCTGCATTCAAGACCCAACTGCATTCCCAATTCAGCTTCCTGCTAACGCACACTGTGGGAAGCAACAGATGATGGTTCAAGTCCTTGGATTCCTGCTGCTCGTGTGGAAGACCCAGATTGAGTTCTCCCCTCCCAGACATGGAGAACATTTGAAGAGCGAACCAACAAATGCGAGAGCTTTCTCTGTTTCACATACAACAAACTTCAACACACACTCACACACACATTTATTTTAAAGGAGTAGCTTTATTATTTTTACCTGTTTAATTTTGTCACGGTCTTGATCTGGTGTGGCTGTTGAGTTAATCCTCAAGCTTTTCTTAAACATAGCCATTCGAGTCTTGGCTTCACTGCGTTGAATCTTGGGCAGTCTTGCCCTTTCTTGAGTCTGTCTGTTTTTCAACTCCTCAATAAGTCGTTGATTGTAACGCTGCATTTGTTCTGTTTCCTAGGAAAATTTTAAACAGAACTCAAAGGTGTATATTTAACACTCAGTTCCCACATGTATGTTCAAATATGTCATTCTGTGGCTGTTTTCCATATTATTTCTTGCACAGTGATCAGTAATATATTAGGCAAACTAAGGCCAGTGCCATGGTGTAGCTAAAGCCTCCACTTGCAGCATTAGCACCCTGTACAGACACTGGTTCATGCACCAGATGCTCCGCTTCCCATGCAGCTCCGTTAATGACCTGGGAAAACAGCTGAGAATGGCCCAAAGCCTTTGGCTCCTGTACCGATGTAGGAGACCTGCAAGATCCCGGCTCCTTGCTTCAAACTGGCCCAGCTCTGGTCATGTGGCCATTTGAGGAATTAACTAGCAGATAAAAGATCTTTCTGTAACTCTACCTTTCAAGTATAACTAAATGAATCTTTTTTAAAAAATTACATTATTAGTAATAAGCAGCCTAATAGTATTTTGAACCATTGTGGCACAGCATGTTAGATTTCTAATTCAGTTCCCTATTAAATCACCTGGGAGAGCAGTAGATGCAGATGCAGTCTAACTATCTCTGCCTTTCAAACAGATTTTTTAAAAACTTTAAAAAAAAAAGGCCATCGTTTGGCACACCTGTGTCTCCTCCCTATCAGACTGGGTGGTCTTCAGGCTCAGCTCTGCCTCCAATCCCGACTCTGAGCTAAGGCACACTCTGGAAGGAAGCAGACAGGGCCTCTAGAGCCTGATCAGCTGCTGTCACCCTGGAGTCCCTCTGACACGGCCCGGCCATGGCTGTTACAGCTATTCAGGGAGTGATCTTTGTCTCTGCCTTTCAAATAAAATATGAAAACACATAAACTCTTATGAAAATACAATTTAAGGATAAAATAAAAAAATCAAAACATCATTCTCTAAGGAATATAAGCTTCAAGCTATTAATTTTGTAAACTAAAATGAACCAAAATTGAAGAAATTTTCCTTTAATTACCTTTTCATGCCGCTTAAGTAGCTGATGTCTTTGCATAAAATACTGATCCTTAAGTTGCTGTTTGAGCAGCTGATGTTTTTCTTGCAAATGTCGTTCTTCAAGCTCCCAAATCGCAGCTTCTCGAGCTAAGACAAGAAAGCAATGTTCTTAAATAAGAGACTGATGGAATTACAACTCCTAATCAAGGACTGTACTGCTGTAACAATGGGGGGAAGTCAGCTAGGGGTGTGAGTTTGGGGGTGAGGGAAAATTCCAGACTCTACAGAATTGTAGCATAAAATTCTAAATTAAAAATAAAAATAAATTTTAAATGTCATCTTGCTCTTTTGACTACCTACCGTATTTTGTCTTTCATTTTAGTATTTACATAAAAGTATTTCATAAACAATGATTTAACATACACACAATACATATATTGACATGCTAACTCATAAAGGATATTTTATCAATGTAAAGATAGTATCTATTAGCACTTTCCATTCTATTCTAATGGCCTATAGAGAGAATGTTCTATCATGACAACCACAATTCTAAATAATTGTCTTAAAAACAAAAACATGTAAGTTAATTTGTTAAGAGGAATAAGTACTTAAAATTCTATTCTATCATGTGGCTATTGGGTATATCAACAATTATAAGGCATAATGAAAACAAATTATTCAAACACATTTCTAGCATTATCTACACAAACTAATAATTGAATAAGGTATATGCTCAAACTGTCAAAAAATTGTACATCTTGTAGTACTTAATTTTAAAAAACTTTATTTACCATAACTTTATTCTTCCTACCACCCTAGCAAAGGAAAGAATTCAAATTATTTCCCAAGTGCATCTTAGCATGTTTCTGAATACTTTATATACACAATATGCTGCAGAATTTCCATACCTCTCATGAGCTGTTGTTTGTTATTCAGGCACTCTCTCTCAATATTGGCTAACTCAGCCTTCTGTTGTTGGATGATCTTTTTCAGAGAGCCATCTAATTCTTGTTGTTGCTTCTGAACAAATTCTTGTTCCTATCAGATACAGTCAACCACCAATTAATAAAGTATCCACTGCACTAAACATCCATTTCTGTAAATGAATATTTACATTTGTGGTTAACAAGATTTCTAGACCAAGCTTACAAAGTATTCAGATATTTTAAGATACCAACACTGCACTATACATATAAAAAATAAATGTACTAACCACCAAATTCAACCCCAGAAGTAGTACAAATTCAATACCATCAGTATTACAAAACATAATATGCTGAATCACCATTTAAGAATGATAGAAACAAAAGTTGATATCCCACTCATAATTAAAATGCCTTATTACACTGGTGTCTTTAAGAACATAATACATGTATAGGCTCTAAAGCTTACTATTCATTTCATTATGGTGAAAAAAAAACCCACAAAGAAATGCAACAAAAAAACAAGTCAGAATTTTAAACTCTATTATGCCAAATGACAGAGTTACAGCGAACACCACAGCTACACTCACAGAGAAAGATGGTGTCCACAAGCTGTACCAAAAATGAACAGGACTTAAACAATGCAAAGCCAGAGGAATTCAAACTAAGAACAGAAATATGAGTTATACATTATAAACATATAATAAAATTCTATAATCACTGAATTCAACCAACGTCATCTATGATTCACCAATTCATCCAAATATTTACTAATCATATAGTTTTTGGCAAATTTCTGTGTTAAAAAAAATCCTTCAGTTACTACTTAAGAAAAAGAAATAGTGACAAATTTTACCTGCTAAGATCATACATTTACAGAAGGAAATGAGTAACATCCAGATTAAGTCTAAGTATGAATCGCCCTCTCTCAGCAACTAGCAGCACTTGGTAAATAGCTCAAGGGATGTTCAGATTTAAAATGCGGCACTGAAGCAGCAGTCCATCTATCATCCCTATTCTTACACATCCCAGAGAAAATCAAATTCCAAAACCTATTTGGAACTGGACAGTCTGACAGGGTCTGGATCACAGTCAGCCCAGTACTTAGTACACAAGCACCCAGCAAGCTGCACAGGCGTTTGCCTTCCCACAGTGATGTCTCTGAGACAACACGGTTCATGTGTCTTCTTAAAGGAACCTGGAGTCAAGAAGCACTGCTCTCTCAACTACAGCATAATTTGCATGTTAGCAGGAATAAAAAGCCAGCAGAAGGAAAAGACAAATGAACAGCATCTATAGAACATATTATCAATCTGATTATAGACACTCATATCACTTCATCACAGCCAAAAAATTAATTTATAAACATTTAAATTCAACTAGCTATACCAGCACTTTTGAGCTTTCTTTAAGAAGACACAAAACTTTGGGCCCGGCGCGGTGGCGCAAGTGGTTAAAGGTCCTCGCCTTGCACCCCCGGGATCCCATGTGGGCGCCGGTTCTAATCCCGGCAGCCCCGCTTCCCTTCCAGCTCCCTGCTTGTGGCCTGGGAAAGCAGTCGAGGACGGCCCAAAGCTTTGGGAACCTGCACCCGCGTGGGAGACCCGGAAGAGGCTCCTGGCTTCGGATCGGCATAGCATTGGCCATTGTGCTCACTTGGGGAGTGAATCATCGGACGGAAGATCTTCCTCTCTGTCTCTCCTCTCTGTATATCCTCCTTTCCAATGAAAAAATAATAAAAATAAATCTTTAAAAAAAAAAAAAAAAAAAGAAGACACAAAACTTCGAGGTCCTCTGAGCAGTTATAACAAAGAAAGTTGTTCAGGCTGTACTTTGCTTTTTTCTACAATCTGTAATAAAAATTACCTTCTCTAAATTCAATCAAAATATTTCTATATTTCTTAACAGACTTAATATAACCTTCAGATACATAAAAAAGTTTCTTCACTCAACATTTTTATCACTGATTTACATAAAAGATTTTTTAAAATATCTGTATGGAAAGAAACAATAGGTCCAACCTAACTAGCATAAATACAAATCTGAGACTCAAAAAAAACAAATGCAAAAACACAGAATGAGATGAATAAACATGTGAAAAAGTAAACTTAAGCCAGTAACACTAAAAAAAACCCCTAATTTTTTACCTATGCAATTTCAAATCATATTAGTATAATACATTGATGTCTTGATTAAACAAGGTAAAAAAATTCAGTTCAAAGAAAACCTTTATTAAACACTTGGTAGATGCTGGGCATGTACCAGTTACAGGATTACTAGAATTAACAAGAGACAATCCTGTCTTTTTGAAGTATGACACTACTGGTATATCCATTCCCTGAAGATGAAGATTGCTTCTATTACTACCACACTTTAAAAAATTCAAAAGCAAATCTCAGAAAACTCAAGGCTAGGAAATATGGAGCCTGAAGTCAGGCCTCATAATGACTGAATTATAAAATGTTGAAGCAGCTAACACAAAATTGTAAGGATTAGCAGTTAATATAGCATCAGACAGAACTAGCACTCTACTGCTCTGAAAAGTTAAAATAAGCATCAATAACAACAAAAAGTCAAGACAGGCAATAATAAATAAATGTATGGAATGCTTCCTAACAATCAGAGACAGCAAATAATCAAACTCTTATAAATTAACAGAATATAGATGACTACATACCCAGACACTACACAAGTCTTTTTAAAATCACGTCTAAAAAGTATCTGTTGTGGTACTAGGTGTTCTCTGCAGACTCCAATGTAATATCATGTCCTCCGTGTGTACCTGGACATGCTGCCCACTGCTCCATCTAAGCCACTGAGGAGGCCCAGCTATGACACACGCAATCCACAATCAGACCAGGTACCACAACAGAAGACGAAAGACAGAACTGATCAACTACCCCAGCCAAGTGTTGGCAGTGAGTGTCTGCGCAAACGGAGACTTTCAGGTGGACTATGTCAACCAGTGGATTCTGGAGAGATTTCATTGTGCTTGGAGTGGCGAGATTGACAGTAATTCAGAACTACTGAATTATTGAAACCTCTTAAGCAGGACCCTCAGAGCATGCCCCACATCGTGAACCCTGGGGTGGTGTTGGGTGGCTGTCCTCCATCCCGGGCTACAGAAGTGTTAGGAGGCTGGATGTGGCTTCTCTTCCTATCTCCCCCTTACTTCTCCAAGATACAGGAAGGAAAAACAGAGAATGTGGAAATGGTGATCTCACCCACCTTCCTGTAGCACTTCACTATGTAAAAAAATAAAAAATAATGGGGGAAGAATGTATCTGAAAACGTTCTATATCAACTAATATATTTCACTATCCAGAAAGAAATGAAATTTTAATATTATGGAGCAATCATTAACTTTCCTAATTTCAAAAGCCAAGTACAACAGGATAGCAGACTTTGTAATTAGAAAGTAATAACAAGAAATACTACATTCCAAAAAGATTGCACAAATTATATTCATCTTAGAAAAAAGATAATCATTAAAAGTAAAAGACAGCACAAGATCCCAAACCACAGAAACTAAGTCATTTTTTAAAATGGACAGGTACACCATGAAAAGGCTGCTCCTTTCTAAAATGTAGCTTTAAAATGTCAAGAAATTTTAACAATTAATTATATAACTGTAACCATTAGAAATTCAACCTTGGATTCTAGAAAACTCAAAGCAAGGGTTAGGATACAGTGGGCTATTTGTATAGAATTTGGTCACCTTTAACTCAAAAGACTGATTAAAAAATGGTAATGATCAGAAAAGTAATAATAATCAGAATTCCTCATGTTAAAAAAGATCAGTGTTTTATGTATTCTTTAGTGTAATACATAAAGAGCCAAACATCTGTCAATAATTTAGGGAAGACAGGCATTAAAATCAAGTTGTATTCTACCTATTTCAGTCACATATATCAAACAGTGAAATCAGTTTTAAATGAGCTGGTCATATCCCTATGCAGGCTGTGAAAGAGAACACAGCTTGGGATTCCAGAATTAATTTAAATTACAGAAAGGAGAATAGCAACTTACTATTCACCACTGACATTTTTGAATAAATGGATACTGAAACTAAGTGAGACTAAAGCCGCTACTTTTTAGCAAAGCTTTTCTGACCATATCCATAATTAAAACAACTACACAAACATTTATGCAATCAAAATGTCACTTCACACAAAAACAACAATCTAATCACAGCATTCAATTTCTCACATGTGCAAAGTTTTGTGAAATATCACTGGCAAGGCATTTTACGTTTTAAAAAGATAAAATTTTCTACTAAAATTTGCAGTGAGGCAGAGAAAAAAAACAGCACTGTATTACAAGTGTCCTTGTTCTGAGTTTGGGACTAGTTTCTTAGGTAACTTTAGGCAGCTCATTTAATGTTTTGTGCCTCCATCCCCTGGTGTGCAGAGATAACCTCCATCCCTCTATCAGGGTGGTGGCAATAGACTCAACTCTGAAAGAACATGAAGTTGGTGTCAGGTCTTCACTGTGACTGTCATTACAAACGTTATCATCAATTGATCGTCCAGATCTTAGTAAATGAAGTCAACGTTGAGAAGGCACATGTGAGCCAAAGAAAAGTCAGTAAACCAGAAGAGGGCATCTTCCTCCGGGCACATGTGACTTACATCCTGCATTTGGGCGTTGAAGACTGCACAGGATGACAACTGAAAAGACTGAATCATGACCTGAGCCACACCCTGTGGATTAGAACACAGTGAACCTCCTCGCTGAGGATGCATCTGAGTGATAATTACACAAATGCTGAGTCTCCTGAGACCTGGAACAAGTCAATTAACAGAGAGGGACTTTTTTCATCTGTAGAAGGAGTTGAACTAGGTCAGCAGTTTCCACTTCTGCTGTGCCATTGTTGTTTTAAGAAAGGTCTCCTTTAAAAAATAATCTCAGTTTATATACAAGATCACAAAACAATGCTGAAACAGATGGGTCCACAGTCCCACAGTCCTTGCCTTTTTAAGGATTTCCAAACATGCTTCTTCGAAACTCAAGAGTTCCTGAGAATACATTCTGAAACCACAGGACTGGCCAGCTGAATAAATATATTCCCACTCCTTGCCTATGTGGTTATTATTTATAAATTCTCAGGAAAAGCTAAAATATCAAGTTTCAGCAACATCAAAGGCAACAGAGAAACATTTTTGAAATGTTTTAGATCACTAAATTCCTCATTAAACTTACAGTGAGAATGTACCATGCCAATTGGCTGTAGTTGGAAAATAAAAGCCAAACTCTTTCCCATCTGCAAATTATATGAAAAATCACCAGCAAAGTCTTAGTAATAAACAGGGTCACCTAATTCATTAAACATTAAATTCTCAATTACCTGGAGTTTGATATATTCTGGAATTTAAAAAGAACTGTATATACCTTTGTAAGGCAAAATCATATTGTTACTGATCTGAAATCTATAAATAAACAAAAAGTTTACGTACAGCCAGAAATGGCTTTCTAAACCTTTACTTGCTGACAAGGAACAGCCAAAAACACTGGGTCAAACAGGTAAGAATCTAGATGGGGGCCGGCCCGTTATGGGCACTGTTAGAGACCTGGCTGTTCCACTTCTGATTCAGCTCTCTAACACGCCTGAGAAAGCAGCAGAAGAGGGTCCAAGCCCTTGAGGCCCTGGACCCCTGAGGGAGACCAGGATGAAGCTTCTGGCTTTGCTGCAGTCATCAGGGGCGAGAAACAGCAGATGGAAGATCTTTCCCCTGCTCCCATCCCCACTGCCTCCACCTTAGCCTCTTTCTAACTCTACCTGATAAATAAATAAATCTTGAAAAAAACTGATGAGGCACAGAGCAAGTTTCTTTTATTTGAGAAGCAACGTAAGGTGGTGGTTCCATGTATCCAACCCAGACCTAACTCGGACTCGCAGAGAAGCCTGGCTCTGCCATCGACCCTCGGTGCGACCTTGGGAAAATCCCACCAACTTCCACGACTCTAGGTCCTAATGTGTGAACGGGAGTAATGACTGCTCTGAGATTAAATGAGTTCAGACATGTAAACCATTTGGGATAGTACCTAACAATCTGTAAACACTGTCTCAACTCTCATCACTTTAAAGGAAGATGCGCCACACCAGGATGATAAAATGCTTTACTAGCTCATGGCAAGGAGAGAACAACAAGTAGGCAAACTCAATTGAAAAAACTAACTTTATTCAATTTTTTAATTCTAATATTTTATTCCTCTTATTTTTCATGGTGTTTAAAATATTCTATCCTTTAAAATGATGACAAAGATATGGCCATTTTAAAATATTCCTGCTTTGAAAAGAAAAAATATATAATGGCAAAACCCCTGCTGCCTTCAGGGGTTTTTGCTCTTTCTGTTTCTTTATATGAATCTATCAAACCCAAGAGTGGCAGCCACTTTTAAAATCACACAAAATTTCATTAAAAAGGTTTAATACACAGATACATAATCTCTGCCTCTTCTTCTTTCCACTAACATAGGGAATTAAAGACTAAACTTATTTTCCTCTTTGTCTCAGGCTGACTGCAAACTTAACTAAAAGACTCATCTCTCTAAGTATTACAATATTCTATAAAAGTTATCTGATATGATTTTATAAAATTTCACTAAAATACTCATGAATCTAGTTTTATATATAAAAAAACAACCCATTTTCTGATAAGACTTTCTTATCACAACCTAGAATCAAGTTCCTTATATAAAACAGCACATCTGTTTAACAACTGGACACTGAATCACAAAGAAAAGCATATCTAATATTTAAAATCTGGTTTTAAAGTTGCTTATGTTGTACAGCTTAAAAGTAATAAATATTTGATCTGTAATTTAACATTATCACTTGTCATCTAAATTTGAACTTCATAAAAATTAAAGCCTATTATCAACATTTATCACCCATCATTCTTCCATCCTAAAAATCTAATCACACAACACAGGCACTGCTAGACAAAAATGCAGACTTCTACCATGATCAAAACAAAATAACAAATTATACATCAATATATTTGTTTACTTCACCCACAGTCAGCTTTCCAAACATTCCATATTATTTCATATTGATGTCACTTAACTGTCACTATAGTATAGAATTTATTACTACATAAAAGATGGTTCTGGGAATCTTTGGATGGGAAGTAGTCAACATCAATAACCATTACAGTTAAAATCACCTTCCAACCACAGCCTACTGAACTGGCAAGAGACACTGCTTTCTGTTTTTAGTAGCATCAAGCTGCTTCTGTTACCTGAGCATGCTGGGTTTGTGCAAGCTCCTCTCTCTTGCGTTTCAGGAGCTCTTTTCTCAGCTCTCTGGGTGCTTTCTCCACTTCATTTAAAACCTACAGTGTATAAGCATGCAGGAGGTGGGGAAATAATTTCTCCACAGCAAGCATTTATGTGAGCAGACAAGCTACAAGCCAAATATGAAAGCGGTTTAAAAAAAAAAAAAGGCTCTTTCCAACATGCATTAGCACAGGTGTTAGCTTGGTGAAAAAGAATAAAAGGATAGAGCATGCTTAATTTCAGTGCAGAAAGGAATATTACACACGCAGAGGTTAATTAGCTGCTTAGCTATTCCTATGTGTCACTTTCTCACTTAAAGATTCAAAGAAATAGTGAAGGATTACTTGCAGCTCTGATGCTGAACTTGAAAGCCTTCTTGAAAGATCCTAATATTTCTACTGATACAAGGAAGATAATGTTATTTATAGAAGTGCAAAGTTTCATAACCGGCTTGATAACACCAGAAATAATTCTAAATAAAATCCACTTACTGAAGCCAAAAATAAACAAACAAAATCACAAAAAGAGTAAGGTAGGCCTCAGAATACACAAAGGAGAAGTAAATTCATACTGCGTTTTCATAAAACATACTATTTTATGTATGATATGATAAAATGTGAACATCTCTAATGACTTTATGCACGAGAACAACATTCTCCTTTGCTGACAATTTATGCCAAGCCTGTCAATTTTAGATTTAGGAATGTTTAGTAAATGCTTAGTAAACTGTGTTTTATTAAGCAAAAACAAGTATATTATAGAAAAAAATATTTTCAAGATCCTTTAATAGTTTCAAAGTCCTAGATGTGTTATTCAACCTAACAATACACAACCTACAAAAGTATATTATACAAAACTATATTTTCAAGATACTTTTAATCTTTTCAGAGTCCTAGATGTGCTCTTCAACCTAACAATACATCTACAATCTAGTATGAAAAACAATTGTGTGTTTACAAGTAGAAGCACCAAAAGAACCAGATTCCAAATCACCACATGCCAAGATGGTCCAAGAGACTGATTCTGATTTAACAAAGGGCACTTAAAATTTCCCATCAGTAATCCCTCATGAAACCAAATCACCATCAAAAGGAAGAGATTCCCCAAATGCAAGAAGTTTAGCAACAGAAGAAAAATACATAATTATTTAAAATATATAAATCTGATATAAACAATAGCTTCTCAATTTGAAAAAATCCACCATTTTAAAAATGTTGAAGCCTAATAAAGTAATACTCATAGTATTTAAAACAACTGCCAGTAATACTCATGGTATTTAAAACAATTGCATTCAGTAAGTGATAACATTATTTTTTATAAGTCTTGGTCATAATCAAGTAAAATTATAAACCATTTCACTCATCTTTACCTAAAAATACAGGACATAGTATATCTATTAACGTTCAACTCTATCCTTTTTAAAACGCATCCTTATGATTCAGCAATATGATACTCAAACTTGTTCACAATTTAAATGTTAAAGTCAGTGGGTACAAACAAATGCAAAAACACATTTACTAATTTAACTGACATTTTTACGTTCCAAGTCACATAAATAGAATTGACTAATTATTATACCTGTAGCTTTTTATTATCATAAAAAGGCAAATCCTCCTTCTATATTGAAAACACAAGATAAATCATAAAATCACCTCTCAAAATTGTGATCTCTAAGTTAGCTTGATTTCACTTTGGGGACAAAACACACTAACATGTAAATTCTCCTTCTGAATCAGTGACAATCTTTCATAGCAAATACAACACCAAGTAAAAACTATGAAAACCATTGTAGAAAAAACTAAAAACTCCGAGTATTCTTCCACTTTTGATTTTTCAAGAACCTCTGAATCTGATGAGTTCTCACATACTTCAAATTTGTGATTTTCTACTTTTTGTCTGGCAAATATCCAAGAATGTCAGTAAAGTATGTCAAGAAAGTATGTATTAAAGGTAAGATTTAAGGATAACAAGTATCTAGTAAACTCAATCACTGGTGCCGCTGGCAAACAAAATGTTTTCTTGAAAAGCAGATTTCTATACAAGCCTTAAATACTGCATTATTCAGACTAGAAACAGTATATCAGAATATAGATCAAACTTAATTTGAAGGCTTTACTCAACATGTGACTAGACAGGAAGTTGGACCTTCTGAGTTTGAACAGGTCTCTAAAACCTCTTTCACTCCAGTTTTGTTAACAGAAAACTGGGGAGGACATGTGGTCTTACTACTACCCTTCAGACTACTAGGAAAACAACTCAAACAAAAGTGTTATTTCATGATTAAACATTATTCCTAATGCTCTGGTCACAAATCAGGTTTTAGTAATTAAAAAAGCGTAGTTACACTTACCTCCTTCTTTCGATTCTTCAGCATATTCTGAAACTTGGACAGCTCTTTCTCTTGTTCTCCTTTAATGCGTTTCGCTTCATCTCGCAATCGATTTGTATGTTCTTGTTCCAGACGTTCAATGGTCTGTTTCTGCTGTTTTTCTAAATTTTCGATTTCCTGATCATACTGTCGCTTTTTACTCTGTAAAACAATGTATCCTAAGATCATATAATTTTTCCTATCACCCATTTGCCTGCCTGCAGCGTCAGTTCACATCCCAACTACACTTCTGATCCAGCTCCCTGCTTATGGCCTGGGAAAGCAGCAGAGGAGGGCTCAAGTGCTTGGGCCCATGTACTCAAATGGGAGATGCCGAAGAAGCTTTTGGCTCCTGGCTTTGGACTGGCTCAGCCCTGTTCAATGCAGTCATTTAGGGAATGAACCAGTAGATGGGAGACCTCTCTCTGTCTTTCCTTTCTCTGTAAAATCTGCCTTTGATATAAAAATAAATCTTTAAAATAAGTGATATAATATAACCTTTGAGTACATAACAAGTCAAATACACTAAGATGTAATTTTTTTTTCAAAAAGTAGCTAGTTCCTTTTTTCCAACTTGAAAAATTATACAAGTGGTAAAATGTGCAAAAGTCTTAGACAGTTCAGAAGTATATCTAGTTGCCATAAGGTACATAATAAAGTTACAAAAATGCAAACATTTATCACATTTCTAACATATCAAAGTACTCATTTAAAGTAATTTTAATAAACTAACAGTACTGGATTTACTCTTCCTTATTAAGAATCTTAAACATTCTACTGCCCTGAAACAAACCTTTGGGAATTTCAAATCTACTCTTCTAACAAGACTTCTCAATAATAATTTCAAAGTGTTAACGCATTTCAGTATATAAGTGGAATTAAATATTTATAAGGGATATTTTAAAGAAAGCCAAAGAAAAAACATTTTGAACTATAGTGGGGAACAGTTTTCATAAGGTTCTACAAAATAGAGTATTTATAAAACTACTCATTGAGAAACAATTTCATATTTTCTGAGCAATCTTCACTTCGATCTCACATGTAGTCATTAATGTCACACTACGCAAATTTGTACCACTTAAAATTACAAAACAAGAGGAGTGTACTGAAGCATGAATACTTATAACATTTCAAATGATCTATTTCCTAATTTATATTAGCCTAGATATTGAACATGAGTTAAGGACAGACTCAATGACCGTTATTTCTGAACAGTCAGCACTGTTTTCTCCAGCAGCAGTGAATCGTGACATGGAAACTTAACTGTAGGAGCCAGAAAGGAAGCAAATTTTTAAAAACAGTCCAAAGAAAAAAAAATCAAGAGATTCTAAAACTCAGCCCGGTTTGAAGATAACTGTTCAACTGACTTAAAAATCTTGGATTCTACATTAACACGGCAAATTAGAAGGCTGAAAAATTTCTCCAACAATGGACACACCGAACGCACACAAAATTTGACAAATTTTAACCAGAGCACAACAAAGTTACCTGTCAAACCCTAAGTCAGTGATAAAACTGGAATAAAAGATCCTTTCCAGAATAAAGAATTAAAAAAACAAAAATACTGCATCCAGAAACCACACATAAAAGCCAGAAAGACTGCAAATAAGGAAAATCTAATAACGAGATAACAAATACTAAAACCAACTGCTGTGTTTGTTTCTTTCTAAGCACTCACTATAATTATTAACAAGACGGGATATGAGGAAGGCACTTGGCACAGCAGGCTAAGTCTCCACTTGGGACACCTACAACCCTTATCAGAATAAGTGGGCTTGAGTCCTGGCTCCAGTTGTAATTTCAGTTTACCCACTGTTATAGTAGGCAGTGGGTGATGGCCTAAGTACCTGGGCACCTGCCACCCATGTGGAAACCAAGACTGAGATCCAAGCTCTGCACTTTAGCTGGGCCCAGCCTTAGCTGCTGTGGGCATTTAGGCAGTGAACTCAGAGATGATAAATTCTCCCTCCTTCCACCTGTGTCCCCAAATAAAAGATTTTTCAAAATGATGCAAAGATCTAATACTTTACCATCATTTCTTGTTCAAAGCGCCGGAAAATCTGTTCCCGTTGTTGCTGTAGTTTGCCATTGAGCTGCTGTTGAGCTCTCTGCTCTTCTTTTTGAAGAAACCTTAATTCCCGAAGTTCCTGACGTCTGTAAAAATTTAACAGCAATTACAGTGAGGGAGAGCATATGTTGCATTTTTTTCTTTGGAAAGCTCAAAAGAATAATTTCTGTCAATCTATAATACAGAAGAGTAAGTCTTTTGGTCAAGAAATTACTCCTGTTTCTCAATTGTTGAAGACTTTGCAAAAGCAAAAAAAGTTGTTAAAAACCAGTTTTAATTACACTGTTTACTCACCTAAGAAATCTCAATTCTTCAGTTTTGGAATCACTATCTGTAACTATCTTTGATGTTGTTACACTTACTTCTACACCATCAACAATAAATTTGCGTGTTTTCTTCAATGTTTTCTTCTGTCTTCTTGTTTCCTAAGTGAAATTTTGTTTTAGTTAGGCTTCATATAGGAAATGGTCAAAGAAGACATTTAACACTTGAACATCTCTGAAGACTAAAAATAGCTATGAATGCTATGAAGACTATAAATTACAAATATGTACATAAAACAGTAGATTCACCTGTGGAGCAACTGTATCATCCTGAACCTAATCTTATTGGCTTTATCAATAAAAACTAAAAGTTTTTGAATAGGGGTTGTGCACACACTGCAGCTATTAAGAGCCACTGGCAGACAGTCACCTCCTCTCAGGAGTACCTGAAGTCAAGTCCTGGTTACCCTTCCAGCTTCCTGCTACTGTGCACCCTGGAGGCAGCACTGACAGCTCAGGTACTGAAGTGCCTGCCAACCACCACGGGAGACCCAGCTTGAGTTCCTGACTGTTGGCTTAAGGTTGGCCAAATCCAGCCTGTCATGGGCATTTGGAGAACAAGCTAATGGCTGAGAGATCTTGTCTGGCTTTTCTTTTCTTTCTCTTTCAAATTATTTTAAGTGATATTACGCATTTTGATGATGTGCATGTATAACACCACTTCATAATTAGGCACAACTGGTGGATAATTTACATAAACGACTAATTAATTACTATAATTTTTAAATGTTAACTATCGCTCACCTTTTCACTTTGTAGGTTCTCATATCTTTACATTTCCTTAAAAAATCTAAATCAACAGGTCTAAGAATTATCTCAGAATCTCATTTTTGAAAATTCTTCTATGTCATTTTGAAATCCTGCCGAAACTGGGAATCAGAATCTATTTAATCCATAATAATATCAACAAACCTCCTCAATTTTACAGAAAAATAGCACCTCTATTGTATCCCTCAAAGCACAAGATCTTCCTACAAACTACTGCTTAAAATTTCTTATCAAGACCCCATTCTCTGGGGCTAGCATTGAGGCACAGGGAGTAAACAAAAGCTTCTAAATGCAAATAAAAACAACAAAAGCATAGCACTCCTACAAATACATTTTAGTAAACAGATTAAATGTTGAGGCAGTTAATCACTTGATTTTGATTTGGGGCAAAACATTACAAACCCAGGGGGCAAGTGTTTGGCTCAGGTCAAGTAGCCTCTCAGGAGGCTCTCACTCCCTGTACCTGCTTCCAATCCACCTTCCTGCTCATGCACATCTGAGAGGCAGCAGGTGACAGCTCAAATACCCGAGTCTCTGTCACCCCAGACTGAGTGTGGGTCCCTGACTTCAGCCTGACCCATCTCTGGTTATTGAAGGTATCTGAGGAGTGAGCCAGCAGACAAAAGAGCTCCCTTGATCTCTCTGGCTTTCAAATAACTAAGAACTGGTTAATTAAGTTTTTGAAAACAGATAAACAGATTACAAAAGTAAAAATGTGAAACTTTAAACTCAAAATGAACCAGTTTTAAATTTGTCTTTGGCCTATTTTAATCACCTTTCTGCAACCTCTCAATGGTCTACTCTCCAGGGTTACTGCTTCCTCCTTCTCCAGAGTATCCTATCCACACAGCCACTACAATCCAAACTTGGCACTTTGCAAAACACAGATCTACCTCTCCTTAGCCTCCAAACTTCCCATTTCTTCAGCCCCTCCTAAGCATCCATAATTAATAGCTCCTTGTTTTCACATAAATATCTGTAGCTGACTATTAAGTCTGTGAGTTTTATATTTAAAAAAGTAAAATGAAAAAACTTTAAGAAAACTCAGAACACACATACACACACACACACACACACACACACACACACATATTTGGAGCAGACAGGCTGGTCAGTCACGCCATTACTCCGGTCCCTAATGCCAGCTGTCCCAGCTCGTTTCCAGTTTTCTTTTTCTCTCCTTGTCTGTCCAGAGTTTTGAAGAAATAATTTCCAAAGCTCACCTGTATCAGGATTCCATTGGATCTTTTACTATAAAGCATGCTTAAGGGAAGCCACCCAGATTTCTGAATAACTCTGGCAGCTCCTACCCACACTAAGATTTGAGAATGATGCTCTAAAAGTCTTCCGGGTTTTAGTTTTTGTTCTCCCTACAATCACTCTCACAGCAGCAGCAAAGGTTGTGACTAAGTGAGTATGAGCAGTCATTTTCAGAAGCCAGTGGTAATTCAAGGACTGCTGGCCCCAACGGACTCTAGAATTCTAGACATTCTCCAGGTGGGTGCTGTGACATAGCAGTGTAGGCCAGCGCTTGAGACCCTCACATCCCACATCCAAGAGCCTCTCCTTCTGACCTGGCTTTCTGTTAGTGCAATCCAGGAATCTAGCACATGATAGTTCAAGCGGTCAGGCCTCTGCCACACATGCAGGAGACCCAAATGAGCTTAGGCTCTTGGCTCCATTCTGGTCCAGCCGTAGCTGTCACAGGCATTTACAGAATCAACCAATGAGTGCGAGACCACCATCCTTCTTTCTCCATTACTCTGCCTTTCAAGTAGATGAAGATTAAGTTTTAACTTTTTTTTTTTTTTTTAGATTTACTTATTCAGTTTACTTGAAAGAGTTATAGAGAGACAGAGAGACTCCATCTGCTGATTTACCCCCCAAGTGATTGCAGCAGCCACGGTTAGGCTGGCTCAAAGCCGGGAACCAGGAGTTTCTCCTGAGTCTCCCACAGGGGTCCTAGGTCTTGAACTGTTCTCTGCTCTCTTCCCAGGCCATCAGCAGAGCTGGATCAGAAGCAGAGCAGCTGGGACTCAAACTAGCACGCATATGGGATGCTGGCACCACAGTAGAAGATTAGCCTGAAATACCACAGCCCCAAAATAAACATTTCAAAAACATTTTTAAATGAGATCATCCTTTCAATTTCTGTAATTATTAATCCTTGCTAAAATCCCACCTGGATATGTTCAACCTGAAAAGCATAAACTGCACTAAGCAATTAAATCATACTGTCTATCTCAATTGGATTTTAGCATTACAATCCAGACACTAGGTTCTTTTTAACTGATTTCCTTTATAGGCCAAATAAATGTACAAGGCTAAAAGCACCATCTCTGGGACCAGAGCTGTGGGGTAGCAGGCAAAGCCACAGCCTGGAATGCCAGCATTCCAAATGGGCACAAATTCCTGGCCAGGGTGGCTCCACTCCAATCCAACCTCCTGCTAGGACTTGTAAAAAGCAGAGCAAGCAGGCCCAAATGTTTGAACCCCTGCCAAATAAATAAGTAAATCCTTTTTAAAAAGGAAGGATGATTTAACACTTGACTTTCAAGACATCACAGATTCACACAAAGTGATTTATCAAAATGACAAAATCTAAAACAAGGACTCAGGAACACTTACTTGTAAAGATATTGATCCGCTGTCTTTAGTTTTACTTAGGAAGCTAGAGATGGATAAATTCAAGTCAATGCTGCTGTTATCAGCAGTGGACCCAGTGCCCGAGTCAGTATCATTTTCCTTTTGATTTTCAGACTCTAGGGGTGGTGCATCTTCAGACTTTGGTAGAGCATCTACAGCACCCCTGTTTTCTGCTTCCTCAGAGTTGATGTTAATACTGGGTATTAGAACGGGTGTGGGTTCACTGGGCTGTGTAGCTGCAACAGTAACCTGAGGGTCTGTTTTAATTGGCACTTCCCCTGAAGCTCCCAGTTGCTCAGCGTCCACCTGAGCAGCAGCAACAGGAGCATCCCGAGTTTCACTGCCTGAAGCCTTCTGCCCAACATTAGTCACAGCACTTACAACCTCTATTTCTTCAGCACTACTTGATTCTGTAAGTTCCTCTTCTCGATTTGTTCCTGGTTCCTCATTGGTCTCCAATTTACTCTCTGAACTTTCATATAACTGTTCCTTTCTTTTGTCTTCTACAGAGTTCTGATCTAGCTCACTAATTTCAACTATATCTTTAATAGGAACTTCTTCAGCACCTCCGGTATCAGAGTCCTCTGTGGGCTTATCAGTTAATTTCTGGCTGACTTCAACCACCTCTTCTCTATCATTTCTCTGAATCGGCTCAGCATCGCTTTCAGCTGCTTTCTGAACAATATCCACTGCCTCATGTGTTCCCATAATGTTGCTTTTATCACTGACTCCATTTTTTTGAGTTCTGTCATCTTTTCCCAAGTATTCTTGCGTATCTTCTTTTGTAGGTCCAACTTCCTTACCAACTGCCTGATCATCTGCCTCTTTTTCTCCAGTCTCCTGAGAAACTAACTCAACTGTTGGAAGAGCAGTATCTTTAATTTCTTCAGATTTTAAAAGTTTATTTTCAAATATCTGTTGCTTGTCCTGATCCCTTTCTTTCTCAGGACTGTGCTCAGTATTTGTTTCTGAAGTTACCATTCCATGATTCTCTTTTCCTTCAGTGACTGCATTAATGTCCACAGTTTCCTGGTCCTCTGCTTCATGAGAATTTTCTAGCTTGGGTCTCTTCTCCTCTCTCCCATTCTCCTTGATTACTACTGTTCTATCATTCAGGTCAGTGGCCACTTCTAAATGGACATTATGATCATGTTCATTAACACCCTCCATATCCTTTCCAGGTTCAGGAGTTGTACGTTTTTCATCAAGAATTCTGCTGCTGAATTTATCTTCAGTAGTTTTGTGTTCTGTTTTCTCTGAGACAGATTCCAAAATACAAGCATTCTGTGAAAGTTTATCTTCTTCAGAGCTGGCGATACTAAGGTCAGAGGAGGCACGCTTACTTGTAGGTATTGGCTAAAAAAGGATTTTATACATTTTTAGTGTTAGAACATGATGTTGCAATAATAACCAAAACAATGTTAGTACTTATGATGACTTAATAACCTTATTCAGGAAAACTATAAAAATAATTTAAAGAATTGATCATTCTTAACAGTGTATATCATGGAGCAACAATACTTTGCCTCTTTCTCCTAAAAGTAAAGGTTTTACATTGCCACCCAGGAGCTAATTCTAGAATATGGGTGCAATCGTACTGTCAAAACCCATCTCTAAACATAATTAAGTGAAAATGTCCTTTCCAAGTACTGACCAGAGAATTTTCTGTTTCTTCATCATCATCTTCCTCTTTGCCATCTTCAACTTCCTCTGTTACTTCAGCCTTGGCCTCTGCAATCAGTTCTCGGATAGGTTTGTTGGAATCAACAGTAACAAAGGGATGCTGTTTATTATTAAAAAGAACACACTGAGTGATGACCAAAACACCTGCTCCTACAATAAGCTCCAAACATGTAAAGTATACATTCTTAACTAGTGAAAATATAAACACATGAGTAGGAATAATATAAAAAACTGCATAGGTGATGCTCCCACTGCGAAGCTGGCACACCTCATGGGTGCGATTCCTGTCCTAGCTGTGCCATTTCCAATTTAGCTCCTTCCTAATGGCCTGGGAAAGCTGCAAAAGATGGCCCAATTGGTTGGGCCCTGGTCATCCACATGGAAGAACCAAAAAAGCTCCTGGACCTTGGCTTCTACCTGGCCCAGCCTAGCTACCTGGAGAATGAAGTCAGTGGATCTGAGTTCTAATTCTGCCTTTCAAATAAGTAACTTCAGAGAACATCACATCTGTAAAGGAAAGGAGTCACAGCAAAAGCAAGCACTGCCTGCAACAGGATACATTTTTTTTTAAGGACTGTGAAACAAACTTACCAAAAATGGTATAATATCCTACCATTATACCATTATATACCAATAGGCACATGTATCTTCTGTATGCTATAAGATTCTATAATCTAAAGTTTGTGTTAAAATCAGAGGTTTCAACTTTTATTAATTATTAATCTAATTAATTCATCTACATATACCCAACACCTAGTGTCTTTACAGACTACAGCCTTCAAAGGTGGGGGTACTGAAATCAACTAAGTTAAGAGGCAAGGCCCTACTGCACGGAGCTAGGCAATCTTTCTTGCTTTTTTCTCTCCAGATAAAAAGATTAGAACACAATATTACAATGCAGGAGTTGTACAACAATCCAACCTAATAGTAATGGCCTCAGGATTTGTAATTCTATTTGTCTATTAATATTAATTATTTGACAAAATTAATATTACAAATCCTGTTTATAAACCAAATTTATCTAATTACTGTAACATTTTTTCAAAATCAAAATTTTCCTAATATTTACTATAAAAGACAAAAATTATTACTTCACAGCTCTGCTCTCAAGCTGCTTGCTATCTAGTCATTACAGACATAGCAAAAGGAGTGTTAACTAAACAGAATCAAAAGTGCAAGTGGAATGAATTACAAGTTGAATTCTTGCTAGTAATGACACCATGTTCATAAACCAGATGTTAACTACTAGCATGTATTTCACTTTCAAGTAGTAACTCAAAACAAAGTGAACCAACTGAATGAATCTCAAATTGCATTCTTTTTAAAATGTTAAAATAACTACCATTTCTTGTTGTCATACTATCCTTATCTTACCTGCAGAAGCTGAGATGTGTTCCACCTAGCATCCACATTCTTTTCCAAGCATTTCTTAAGAAAGTCCTTAAAATTTGAAGACCTTCAAAATAAATTTTAACAATGACATTCTATTCTTTCTTATCATTAAAACTGAACAGAAATTCCTGGTAAGTCATATTTTATTATGTAACAGTATTAAGATAAAATCTTAATAAAAAGATTAAGATTTTGTAAAATGTACTTATTTGTAAACACACACTATATATGTAAGTAGATATAGTAACTGAAATAAAGCCATAGTCACAAGTATATAAATCACAAACTAAATTTCACAAAAATGTATCAGATACACATACACTTAATTACAGTACAAAAAATACGTTTCTGTATAAAAATACAGAACTCAGATCACTCACATTTTTAAATATATAAGAAAAGCTAGTTATAATTATATGGAACATAGGTTTTGAAAACATATAATTCAGTTTCCTAATTTATACAGTCTTTGCATCATGTATTGAAATTTAAATATTTTTGAAAAACTTGAAGAGTAAAACTTTGCTTTTTTCTTTTTTTTTTTTTTTAAAGATCTTACTATTTTTATATTTGAAAGGCAGTTTCAAACAGAACTCCTTCTGTCCTCTGGCTCATTCCCTAAATGGCCACAATTGCTGGAGCTGGGGCAATCCAGAGCTAAGAGCCAAGAGCTTCTTCCAGGTTCCCACATAGAAGCAGGGGCTCAAGAACCTGAGCCATCCTCTGCTGCTTCCCCAGGCCACAGACAGGGAGCTGGATGGGAAGTGTAGCAGCCAAGACACAAACTGGCACCCCTAAGATACCCACACTACAGGGGGTGGCCTAGCCCACTATGCCACCGCTATCAATGTAGGGGTTTCCCCAAGCTTTGCTTCTTAAAAAATGTGTTTAGAGTCCAGCAATGTGATGGCAGCAGGTTAGGCTGCCACCACTTCAGACTCCAGCATTCCCTACTGAAGTACCAGTTCAAGTCCCACCTGCTCTGTTTCCAATCCAGCTCCCTGCTAATGTGCTGAGAAGGCAGTTGAAGATTGCCCAAGTGCTTGGGTACCTGCCACTGATTTGGGAAATGCAGATAGAATTCCTGTTTTGGCCCAACTGCAGCCATTTGGAGAGTGAATCAGTAGATGAAGAAATATTGGTCACCTTCTCTTCCTACCCTCTTCTGTAAGTTCTGCCTTTCAAATAAATGAAGGCAAAAAAATAACTAAATAAAAAAACCCCAACAACCAACAATAAAAACACTTCTGTTTAGAATAATCTACCATCTTGATGGCTGTGCCAATGTAGGAGGATCTGATTTTGCAATTTTTAGCAGCACTCGCATTGGATTTAATTCATGATGAGGTGGTTCTATCTCAGCCATTTCTATTAAAGTGATACCCAGGGACCAAACATCAGCTTTGTAGTCATACGGTCTGTCCTTTGATGTCTCACACATGACTACTTCAGGAGCCATCCTATAAAGACAAAGAACTGAACATTATTTAGTGTAAGAACAGTTACTATAAAACACATAGATAGTATAATGAAGTATGTGAATAAAGTAATCTTATCAGTTATTACTCATTAAATTCATAAAACTGAATACATACCAATATGGTGTCCCAATAAAAGAATCTCTTCTTTGAATTGTCCTTGTGTTTTTAGCTGATACTCCAAAATCCGCTTGAAATAAATAATCATAAAAAAAAATTAATGATAGCCTTTAAGTATAGTGCACTATATCATAGGAGGCGTTAGAAAAACATTTCAAGTCTTGAATAAGTACAATACAAAAAGGACTCCTCTAATAGCCTAATCTTAGCCATTCTCTCCACTAGCTTCCAAAAAAAAAAAAACTGCTAAAAAAATATCACTTTATAAATCTTCACATGATAAATTCTTCAGAATTGATAACAAAAAATAGTAACTTTAAAATAGACCAAAGTCTATCCACTTTGAAACAAATGCCAATTAGCGCTATATGTTGCAATTAAGTTAACATTTTTCCAACAGTGTGAAAAACAGAAATTATGTCTGAGTAATCTTTATAAGGTTTAGATCTTTCCAATTTCCTACACAATACCATTACAAAGAAAACTATTAAGAACTTTGTTTTCTGCTTTAAATTTTAAAGAACAACAGCATAGTTTTATCTGTTATTAACAACTTTCTTATTTTTATTTATTTATTTGAAAAGCAGAGGAGCAGTAATCAGAGAGGTACAGGGTGTTAAGCTACTACCTGCTATGCCAGCATTCCATCTGAGCACTGGTTGCTGAGTATCAAATGTTTGACTTCCAATAAAACTCCGATAACATACCAGGAAAACAGCAGAAAATGGCACAAGTATGTAGGGGTCTACCAGCCACATGGGAGAAGTGAATGGAATTCAGCATTCTAGCTTTTAGCCTGACCATTGCATTTAATGTAAGAATAGTCACTAATACATAGATAGTATAGTGAAGTATGTGAACAAAATTATAGTAATCTCATCACTTTGGAAAGTAGACCAGAGGATGAATATACCATTATCTCTCTGTGTCTCCTTCTCTTTTTCTAATTCTGCCCTTCAAATAAATACATAACGAGGAAGGTAGGAAGAAAGGAAGGAGACACAGACAGATAAGTAGAGACCTCCTGTCTGCTAGCTCATTCTCCAAATGCCCATACTCAGGGGCCAGGTGCAACCAGGAGCCAGAAACCCAACCCAGGTCTCTCATATCTGTGGCAGAGATCCCAAGATTTCAGTCATCATCATCTTCCTCTCAAAATACACAGTAGCAGGAGCTAGAACTATATACAGAGCCAGAGCTCAAACCCACACACTCTAATATGGAATGCACGTGTCCCAAACTACAAATTTAAAAACGTTTATTCTTTTTTATTTATTTGAAAGACAAAACAGCCAACAGAAAAGAAATAAGGAGAGATAGCATCCATTTGCTGGCTCACTCTCTCAAATTCTCACAACAACCGGGGCTGGACCAGAAGCTCCTTCCAGATCCCCTGTGTGGGAGGCAGGGACCCAAACTTGTGCAATCATCTGCTGCCTCCTAAGTGAACTAGCAGGAAGCTGGATCTGAAGCAGAGGCAGAACTTGATCCCAGGTAGTCTGGTAAGGATGTGGATATCCCAACAAGTATATCATGTTGCACCAGAATAAGTGTCCCTCCACACACACACTCACCTGCTAAACTCTAGCTTAGAAATCCACTGAAAACAATTATCTTGAAAGCTAAATTTTAAAAATATTTTTCTTTTTTTAAAAAGATTTATTTTATTTTTATTGGAAAGGCGGATATACAAAAAGGAGAGACAGAGAGGAAGATCTTCCGTCCAATGATTCACTCCCCAAGTGAGCACAATGGCCAATGCTATGCCGATCCGAAGCCAGGAGCCTCTTCCGGGTCTCCCACACGGGTGCAGGGTCCCAAAGCTTTGGGCCGTCCTCGACTGCTTTCCCAAGCCACAGGCAGGGAGCTGGATGGGAAGTGGGGCTGCCAGGATCAGAACCGGTGCCCATATGAGATCCCGGGCGTGCAAGGTGAGGACCTTAACCACTTGCACCACTGCACCGGGCCCAAAATATTTTTCAAGAAATATTTCTTTTGCATACAAGCTATAATTCTTTAAAAATTTTGATACACTTTTAAGAGATTTATTTTGTTTGAAAGGCAGGTTTTTACAGAGCAAAGGAAAGACAGAAACAGAGATCTTCAATCCACTAGTTTACCCTTCAAATGGGCAACAATGGCAGAAGCTGAGCCATTCTGAAGCTAGGAGCCATGAGCCTCCTTTGGCTCTGCCATGTGAGGGGAGGGGCCCAAGTATTTGAGCCATTCTCTACTGCTTTCCCAGGCCCTCAGCAGGCAGCAGCATAGAAAGTGGATCACTGGGCTCAGCACGATAGCCTAGTGGCTAAAGTCCTCATTTTGAACATGCCAGGATCCTATACAGGCACCTGTTTGTGTCCTGGCTGCTCTACTTCCCTTCCCATGCAGCTCCCTGCTTATGGCCTGGGAAAGCAGTATAGGATGGCCCAAAGCCTTGGGACCCTGCACCCACCCTGGAGGCCTGGAAGAAGCTCCTGGCTCCTGGCTTTGGATCAGCTCAGCCCTGGCTGTTGCTGCCACTTGGGGAGTGAACCAGCAGATGGAAGATCTTTCTGCTCTCCTTCTCTCTGTAAATCTAACTTTCCTATATATGTGTGAGTGTGTGTATGTATATACATATATATATATATTTTTTTTTTTTAAGTGGAACAGTTATGACTTAAACCAGTGCCCTTATGGGGTGCTGGCACTGCAGGCAGAAGCTGAGGCTACTATACTACAGCATCAAACCTATATAAATTATACTTATAAGTAATTCAAAATTTAAGGGAAATAATTGTCCTATAAAATTATTAATTTTATAACAAATAGAAATAATCAGCTAATTATTAATCAAAAGAGTAAAAAAAAAAATAATGAACTTAAACACCATGACAGAATTCACTTTGTAATGTCAAGTTTTCTAAGTGTTATGCTTTAATAGCTGCTCACATCTGCAAAGAGCAGAAAGCAGAAAGCATGTTCCCCCAACAAAACAAAACAAAGCCACATGTGAACCCAAAGGGTCTTCTATTTACACATGAAAATATCAAATTAACTCATTTCTAAGGGGCAGAGAGAAAGAGCCAGACACAAAAAAGGAGTGAGCTCCCAACCTTTGGTTTATTCCCCAAATGCTTGCAGTGTCTGGGGTTAGACCAAGACCAAGGCCAAGGCTGAGAGTCATACCTTCAATCCAGACTTCCTGAGGGTAGTCGGGACCCCTTCTCCTGAATTATCACAGCAGTCTCCAGGCTATGCAGTAGCAGGAAGACAGACCCAGAAAGGAACCAGACCCAAGCAGTCTGTATAGAACACGGGCGTCTTACACCCAGCATCTGAACCACCAAGCTAAACTCTGAACCCCAGATATTCCTTTTAAACTGAAGGTGCTTTGTTAGTTTAGCCAAGTTATTGTATGAGTAAAATAGAATGTAAAATTACACAAGGGGGTGGGGGGCCAGGGATCTTAGGATGTAATCAGGGCACAACTCTGTCCCCTAGCGCTGATGTGATCTGGCAGCAAGGAATTAAACAACATCCCGCCCCGACCACACCACTATCACAAGAGGGAAAGCAAGGGCTTTTTCCTTTTTCCTTTTCCCTCACTCATCCCCTCCCATATCACCCCACCCAAAGATCTGCATAAGTCTGCAATCCCCTCACCTATGTAAAAAATATTTAAAAATAAATGAAAAATTTGGGGCCCGGTGCAATAGCACAGTGGTTTAAGTCCTCGCCTTGAACGCCCGTATGGGTGCCAGTTCTAATCCCAGCAACTCTACTTCCCATTCAGCTCACTGCTTGTGGCCTGGGAAATCAGTCGAGGACGGCCCAAAACTTTGGGACCCTGCACCCATGTGGGAGACCTGGAGGAAATTCCTGGCTCCTGACTTCAGATCAGCTCAGCACCAGCCGTTGCAGGCACTTGGGGAGTGAACCATCAGACAGAAGATCTTTCTCTTTGTCTCTCCTCCTCTCTGTATATCCACCTTTCCAATAAAAATAAATCTTAAAAATAAATAAATAAATAAATGAAAATTTTTAAAAAGCTGCAAATGAAAGGGGAAACACCACTAGGCATGAATTTTGGAGATAAAGACAAAAGACAAAACTGAGTTTACATTTTTATATATTATATTATAAATTTAAAATATTCACGAGTATTAAATCTGCATTCACAAATTTTAAAAGAATTAGCTTTCTACTTTTGAAAATAAAAATTCATCTTTTCCTGCCTTTCTTTTAAAGTTTCTTTAAATTAGGTGTCTGGAAGTTAATGACTATTTATCCAAGCTCTGTTTTAAAAACTTGGATGGACAGTGAAGTCAAAACCAAAACCAAAACCACAATGAGTTATCAGCTCACTGCTCTCAGGAAGGCTGTTATCCAAAAGACGGAAAGTAGCAGATGAAGGTGAGGGCGAGGACGTGAGGAAATGGGGACTCCGCTAGTGGGAATGTACATCAGTACAGCTGCCGCGGAAATCAATAAATCAAAAATAGACAGGCATATGATACAGCAAACCGCCACTGAGTACAGCCCCCAAAAGACACAAACACACTGCAAAGAGACACCTGAGCCACTATGTAGAGCAGCACTGCTGTGAACAGCCCAAAACAGGGACTCACCAAGGTGACCATTATCGGATGAGTGGATAAATAAAATACGATATATATAAAAAAGATGGTAATTCTGTCATTTGCATCAAAATGGATGCAAGTAGAAAATACCATGTTGAGTGAAATAAGCCAGACACAGAAAGACAAATACTGCATGTTTTACCTTATATACAAAAGCTAAAATTTAAAAAAAAAAAGCTTGGTATTTATCAGTATTCCTGTAAACATAGCTTTGTTACACTTTGCTTTATATCCTTGTCCGGTCAACAGTTAAGGATGATATATTTCTATAGTTTTAATAATCTGATTATTTTAAAACCTACTGTATATAAGTAAAAGACACCTTTCATCATTATTTATACCCTTTACCTATATTCCTGATGAACTAGTTTTTTGGTTGTTGTTGTTAAACTCTTTATTTTGTGAAGCATTAAACCTTTGACTAAAACATAAATTAAAACACATTACCATAAAAATTAAGGCAGAAAGAAAAAAGAGGAGAGGGAGAGATATGAGTATATTGTTAGAATTCTACCTATGAACTGTACTAAATTTGTTCTGTTTGTATTATTAGTACATCTCTTCTCTTTGTATTAACATGAGAACTACGTTATAGTGATTATGGATTTGCTATGACCGAGAATCTCATGCAGTAATAAATTCCTTTTAAAAATGTACAACGGATAGGCTGAAGAAAGGCTGAACAAAAGGATTCAGGAAATGACAAAAAATATGTTAATGAAGAAAAGCTAGGCCATTTAAAACAAGGAAAAAAACCTAAGTGGAAATACTCCATGTTTCACATATTTGAGTTATAGTAAAACAATATTAAACCACATTAAAATAAAAAGTAAAAAATCTCAGAGCATAAATTCAAGTGTTTGAACAACTTACCCAATTTAATATCTCCATCTAACGTAAAAAGTATGTTGCCAGCTTTGAGATCTCTATGGATGATTTTATTATCATGTAAGTAGTTCAATGCTTCTAAAGTCTGTTTGCAAACTACTTGTATTTGGGATTCTGTTAATGGTCTCTCGAGTTCTATAAGAACAAAGTAAACAATTGTGCATTTTTAAACAGCAAAATAGCTGGCTATATTCCTTTCTGCATATATCATTACTGAAAGCTCACACAGAATTTATTTTTAACTAAATATCTAAAAAGATTACTTTCCTGACATACTATATTCAATCTTGCATTTTAGAGTTTTATTACAATTACTCAATAATATAAAAATACAATTAAGTTGAGCACTTACTTTGCTGAACTTCACTCAATTACATAAACATATGAATTACTTTGTTTTATTAAATATAAGATATAAACAAGAAGAATAAAAAGGTATTTACCAAGCATCACAGCATCTACCGCTCCACCTGCACAAAATTCAATGAGGATCTGCATGCAAATAAAAAAGCATGTGTCTAAAACTACATTGAGTTTCAGTGGTTTTTCTTCATAAGCAAAAAAGAAACAGGAATAGCTATTAAATATAGAATATGGAGACAATATGATAAACATTAAAACTCTGTCTAAAGAGTTAGAACCCTTAAATGACAATATCTGAGCACAAAGAGAACACATTGTGGAGGTATCTGCATTTTTGTTAATCATTTTTAATAACCCTGCTTAACAGGTACAGATTTTCTCCTTAGTCTAACATAATACACTCATTTTATCATCACTGATTTTTCTCATTTTAAAGCAACTACTGTGATTTGAGTGATTAAATGTGTTTTTTAACTTCAACACAAATAAATCCTGAAGTACATGTATAGAAACTTACAACAAAATACATACACACAAACAAAAACTTCAGACCCCAACTCAATTATCATTTACTTATCCTCTGGCAAGATAAATAACACCACATAGCTCTCCCTCAATCTTTATAATAAGTGTAACTCTATATTTATTCTGATTCTTTAAAACATCTATAACATGTTCCACTAAAATATCCCTTACAGTTCAACTACGTTTATGTAAGTTTTGATTGAAAAACTTATCTATTAAAGTGTCTAGTTTTCATTGCAATCTAGAACTCTTAACTATTTTAGATTTCACATTATCAATAATCACATAATTTTCTCAAACATTGTACAATATGTAGCTACCTGATCTATTCCTATGTACATTTTCTTTTTCATAGAGGATTGTTAATTACCAATTACTTTCAAAATCATTGTTTAATTTGAAATGTAGCTTAATAGGTGGATTGTGTACATAAGTACACAGACTCCCAAAGGTTAAGTTAGTTACCCAAGTTCCTGATACAGCTACAAAAAAACAAACAAATAAATAAATAAAAAGAACATGTGCTTTTGACGTTCAAGGAAGTATTTCTTTACTTGTTATCTCTCTCTAACACCGCTTCTTCCTTCAACTGGACAATCTTAAATTTTGTTTTAAAAAGTCCTCTTGATTGAACTATACTGAGACAGGAGGTTAACTAATTATGTTAATATTTTGTTTCCATATATATATGTGCCTCTTTGCAATATGAACAAAATTGTACATGTAGCTTTAGCCGCTATACCTATCATTATTCACTAAAGTTCAGCCTGATCATATACAACATTTAATGTATCTAGTAATTTATTTTGTTGCATGAGTTATAAAAACTTTAGAATGAAACTACAAATTCAAGAAAAACAGTTTGAACACTTAAATTTTTAATTACAAACAAGGACATATACTTTTATATTTTAAGAAATTTAATATCGTTAACTCAGTTTCCCACTTGGGCCCAAGAACAAACAACTGTGATGAAAATGATACGTGAGACATCAACCTGAACCAATGCTAGGCCTAAGTAAATTACACTGTAACAACTTCCTTATCAGCAAAGGAACTCTTATTCAAAAAAGGTAAGTAAATAGAAAAGGTAACATAAAAGAGAAATCACAAACTCTTTAAGACAATGCATTTTGGTTACTCCCACAGAGCAACAAAACACACTCACCCAAAGGTTGTTTTCATAATAGAATGCATCCAGAAGCTTGACAATATTTGGGTGATCACAAGATGCTAATATATCGATTTCAACCATATAGTCTTCAAGCTCTTCTTCAGATTTGGTGTCAATCACCTTTGCAGCAGCTAAAACATTGGTCTCTTTATTCTGGGCCTAAAATTAAACACATTTAAAATGTGTGTACATTTTGTTTTAAGATTTATTTATTTTTATTGCAAAGTCGGTTACACAGAGAGGAGCAGACACAGAGAGGAAAATCTTCCATCTGATGATTCACTCCCCAAGTGACTTAAACAGCCAATGCTGCACCAATCTGAAGCCAGGAGCCAAGAGCTCTTCCAGATCTCCCATGTGGGTGAAGGTCCCAAAGCTTTGGGCTGTTCTCGACTGCTTTCCCAGGCCAGAGGCAGAGAGCTGGGTGGGAAGAAGGCCGCCGGGATTAGATCCTGGCGCGTGCAAGGTAAGGACTTTAGACTGTAGGCCACGGAGCCAGGCCCTAAAATGCATGTGTGTGTGTGTGTGTTTTAATTTAATTTTGGAGCCAACACTGCCAGTTAAGCTGCTGTGTGCAGTGCCAGCATCTCATATGGGTGGCTGGCTGATGTACTGGCTGCTCAACTTCCAAATCGGTTCTAAGTGCCTGAGAAAGCAGTGGAACATGGCCCGAGTATTTTGGCCTCAGCCACCCAACTCCCACACATCCACACATGCACAACCTCCCCTGATATCAACATTCAACATCAGAAGGGTACGTTTATTGTTAACTCAGGAACCTACATTAACATAACATTATCATCACATATTACATTATCAGTAGGATCTACTCTTGTTACTGTATACTGTTTGAGTTTCAACATGTGTATGACACACAACTGCCACTGTAGTAGTTTACAGCAGTCTCACTGTCTTAATTTCTGTATTTTAACTGTTCATCTCTTCCATCTCCCCTACTAACTCCTGGGATCTACTAACTTTTTGTCAAACTACATAGTTCCACTTTTTCCAAAATATTGGTATCACCCAATATAGAGATTTTTCAGACTTCTTCCACTTACTTAACTGAAATTATGTTTCCCTTCATGTATTTTCCATGGTTTCGCAACTCTTTTGGGTACTGAATATTATATGACAGTTGGGGCAAGCACAATGGCTCTGCTGGATAATCCTCTGCCTGTAAGTGCCAATATCCAATATGAGCGCCAGTATGTGACCAGTGGCTCCATTCACATCTACCTCTCTGCTTGTAGCTTGAGAAAGCAGAGGACGACAGCCCAAAGCCTTGGGACTCTGCACCCGAAAGGGAGACCCAGAAGAAGCTCCTGACTCCTGGCTTTGGACCACCTCAGGTCCTGTTGTTGCAGTTATTTGAGGATTGAACCAGCATATCCAGTAGTAACAAATCAAGTTTCAATTGCTTCATGTCCTCACTAACATGTGGTATTGTCAAGTAAAGATTTTCACCAGTTGAACAGGCATGTAGTGGTATCTTGTTTCAATTTACAATGCCCTAATGACATGCAATGATAAGCATCTATATACTTATGTATTTGCCACCTGTACAACTTCTTTAGTAAGGAACTGGTTCAAATTTTGTCTAGTTTTAGTTAAGGTTGTTTTTTAGTTTTAAGATTTATTTGTATATTTTGAATAAGGCTGCTTTATGGAATACATGTTTTCAAAATATTTTCTCCCAGGCTATAGTTTCTCTTCTCATTTTCAACATACCACTGTTAAAAGACAGCTTGAACACAAATATTAACTAAATCACACTACATTCTATACAAAGTATGCTTCACTTGCTTAGAGGATAGTATCTGAAGTCACAAGTTCCAGTGCATTAGAAAACTAGTGCTCAAATTCTTTATCACTTACTGTGTTGTTCTGGACAACTCAGAAAAATCCTATTTTAGTTTCCTCATCAATGAAACCTGCCTCCACACAGCTGTGAAAATTAAGATAACATTTTGCAAGTGAAAAAACTACATTCAGTATTAAATACTAATAAACGCCTAATGGATGGAAATATTTAATAATGTGTTCATTTCTGGCATATGCAACAAAGATTCAGAAACATTAGTATAATAATCACCATTTTTTAATCCTCATATCAAACCCATGATATATTAACATCCCTGCTTTAAAGACAGATATAAACTAACTCAGGAAAGTAAAAGGGCTTCCCTAGGATGTGTGTCTAGGTAGGAGGCAGGGTCATTACCTGCAAAGATACAACTTTGACATGAGGATTACCTTAAGCTAAAGACGCTTGAAACACAGCAGCTATAAGAGCACTTTATCTTCCCCTTTTCTTCTAAGAACAGGAAGTCCCACACAAAAGACACCATCTCCACACTAGGAAAAACCATCCTTTGATGGGGAGTCACATTTGAGAAAATTCTGTACAAACTAACTTGTTCAAATAATTTTTTAATTTTTATTTTAGATGATGTTTACATGGTTGATCAGGGTGGGAAGGATTGAGGATTAGAGAAAAGTGAGTGTCATCACTGTTTCCAAATTTTCTATTTCTTCTTCCTGTATCTGGGAGGAGGGGAGATAAGAGAAGAAGCCAGACCCTGCCTCCCAACCGCTCCAGGACCCAGGGAAGGGGAAACGTCACCCAATATCGACCCAGGGTCCCAATGTGGCACACACTCCAAGGGTTCTGTCCAGGTAGTTCAGGTAGTTCTGAAATGTCAATCTCGCCAATCCAAGGATGAAGAAACCCTTTCAATGTCCATTGTCTGACATAGTCAACCTTCCGCCCAGATATTTGTTGTCATCCTTTGGGTGTGGTAGTTAACCAATCTGTTCTGTTCTTTCTCTGCTATGGTACCAGATGTCCTCCAAAGGTCCCAATGGCTCCCATATCCTCCATGTGGATCTTAGCCTACTGTCCATTGCTCCATATTTTCCACTGAGAAAGATCTGTTCTCACAGGCAGGCCCAAAGACCCGGAACTTGGGCCCAACCAGATCCTACAACTGGCCCCTGGGGCTCATGAACTCGGCAACCACCATGTAGGCAAACCCAAGGACCCAGGCACCACCAGACCACCCCCTAACATTCCTGGAGGCTCACAGACCCAGCACCCACTGAGCAGGCAGGCCCAAGGGCCCAGGCCCCACTGGACCCCCACCCCGGGGGCTCATGAACCAGATACCCACTGCTCAGGCGGGCCCAGAGACCACATCCCCTTAACTTCCCCAACCAGGCCTGCTCCCAGCCACAGCTTTTGCATGTGCCAACAGAGACTGCAGTTCCACAAGCATAGTCCATATACCCTCCCAGATTCTGTCCCCAGACCTGATTCTCTCACATGCCTAACATCACCCGCCCTTTGTTCTGACTCTCACTGGTGGGTCCTATGATCTATCCCTGCCAGGTATGCCCCCAGCCCTAGCATTAGTATGCACCAGCTAGTGGTGTTCAATGATGGTCAATGCTAACTAGCCCAGCTCACATTTCCCACGTGTCCGACCCTTAAAGGTCCTCCCATTCCCCCTTCCAAACTGGTCAGTCTCAGTCCCCTCCCTTACCCAAAAGTACAGTGGCCTTGTCTATGAAGTCCCTTAGTAGTGGTTCCTCACCTGGACTTGAGCCCTCAAGTCCCTGCTCGCCCTCCACCTGTGCCATACCCCGGGCCCCTTGAAAGCCCACACCCCCAGCTCCCCAGAGTGCACTGCCAGGTAGCCCAAGGGCTTGTGGCAGCAACCAGATAGGCAGACAGAGGTCCCTGGCCAGGCCCAATATGGGACCACCCTCAGCAGCCACCTGACAAACTAAAATAATTCTTTAGTCTCTACATACTATAAACCTACTTTCTCACAACTGCCTCTTTGTTCCACCTAACACAAAAGCAAGTAGGTTTTGCCATTTACTTTCATTATTCATTTCTTTCTGACTGCTTTATTACCACATAAAACTTCCACCAGGGATAGGCATTTGGCGCAGCAAAACACCCGTATCCTTACATGGTACCAGAATTTGAGTCCAGACTTCAGATCCTAGGTATAGCTTCTTACTAAATCAGATGCAAAAGTAGCAGGTGACAGTTCAAAAAGTTTGGTCCTTGCCATCTACATGGGAGATAGGACTGGATTCCTGGCTCTCAGCTTTGACCTAGGCCAGCACCAGCCACTGCTGGCAGTCGACCCACAAAGAGGAGTGCATGAGCAAGTTTTCTCTATGTGCTTTTCCAAAAGTAAAGTAAAAACAAAAAATAAACAAAAAAATTACTATGTATTTCTCATCTTACATCAATTGAATTTCCTGGCCCAAACAGTAATTTAAGAGGATAGTGTTGCTTCCCCTACAACTTTTTTTGTTCTCTCTAAATTTCCATCAGTTTAGTTGTTTTTCCTTGCTCTTCATATTTTAACTTCTTTTTTTTTTTTTAGGTCCTTTTTTACTTTTTCTATGTTTTTTCATACTATCCTGAATCTTTTACATACACATTATTTTTAAGAAACAAAGAAGTGCTAAAAAAAAAAAAAAAAGCACAGGGCTCTCTTAGGAATCTATTGTCTCTTCCTGAAGGTAAAGAAATAAACAATGGCAGGTATCAGCTTCTGTACTGGAATCTTCCTAAATATTGACAAACTTTAACTTCCTGTGGAAAAAACCAAAAGGTGAAAATACTAATACCAGATAATTTGTCTTATATAAAAGATTAATTTTTTTTTTTTTTTAGGTTTTCCTGGAAAGCAGAGTTACGGAGAAAGGGGGAGACAGAGATCTTTCATCCATTGGTTTACTCCCTACATGGCTACAAGGGCCAAGGCTGGGTGAGGCTTAAGACAGAAGCCCAGAGCTTCATTTTGGTCTTCCATATGGGTTGGCAGAAGCCCAAGCCATCAGAGGAAACCGGATTGGAAGTGAACAGCTAGGACTCAAACCAGTACCAATATGGGATAGCCACATCACAATGTTAGCCCCAAAAAGATGAGTTTATACTGGTCAACCCGAATGCCCTAGAAGAGTAGTCTAATCTATTTTAAACCAATCTGGATGTCTTTAAGATATAGCCTTTTATAACCCAATAGCAAGGAAAAACTGCTAATTAAATTATCATAGCACTCTTAGTTGGAATTTGTTAGGTTTTGAAGGAGTTCTTTTGGTCATAATTAAACAAAAACTTATTATACACATTA